TCTATGGGAGAAAGGAGGGGGGGCATAGTGAGCAAATACAGGGTGTCCGCAAAGTTGGGGTTGTCCTTTTCAGAAACAACTACCCTTGAAATAACAAAGGTAATGTGTAGTGAAACGAGGGCGACCAAGTAAAAAAAAATAAAGGAAAAGGTACTCACTCTCCAGTTGACGAGAAGGGCTAAGTACGTCTCTGCCCGAAATCATACCGCTCCAACAGAAAATGAAATCAGCTGATGCGCTACCGAGCAGACGCAGGCGGTGGTGCAGACCACGAACAGAGGTAACAAATATGACGGCGTTGCCGCGTTTTCAGTTTTTAGGTAAACGTACTTTATAGGTATTGTTCGAAGTTATCGCCGTTTGATTCAAAAACACAGCTGCGTGCACGACTTAGCCAAGCATCGGTGCAGGCTTTGAGAATGGAATCCCTCCCCCGAATGAAAGCACCAGCTTGTTCAATTCTGAGACGAAGTTCGTCAACCGTATGCACTTCAGTTTTGTACACTAAGCGTTTCATTTCTCCAAAAGAAAAAAATCACATGGTGTTAAGTCTGGAGATCGCGGAGGCCACGCTACAGGTCCATTACGTCCGATCCACCTATTCGAAAATAATTCATTCAAAAACTCACGCACTTCGCGTCTAAAATGGGGAGGTGCACCATCATGCAGAAACCACATTGATTGTCTTACACTTAATGGCACATCTTCTAACAAGGAAGGCAAAATGTTGCGTAAAAAGTCTAGATATTGCATCCCGTCCAATCGATTTGGGAGAATAAATGGTCCAATGAGCATACCGTTCACCATGCCAGCCCAAACATTCACCGAAAATGTTTGTTGAAAATGTGCCCGACGGACAGCGTGCGGATTTTCTACTAACCAAACATGAGTGTTGCGAAAGTTATTCACCCCATTACGCGTGAACGTAGATTCGTCTGTCACCAATATGCACTTCAAAAAGTCCGGATTATTGTCATGTTGATGCAACAACCACTCAAAACCGCACTCTTGCTGGAAAATCGTCAGGTTGAAGGGCTTGTACACGTTGGACGTGAAACGGATACAACCAAAAATTTTCGGACGGCTTGGATTAGTCATAGCGTAAGACGATGAGGTATATCAAGTGCCCCAGACACTCAGTCCAGGAATGTCTACCTTAATTTAAAAATAGTTTAAATAAAATACCTAAAATAAGCAAAAACTTATATTTGGGAGGTTCAAAATAAACTTTTTTAAATAAGGTTTTTCACATCTGGTTTTGGTAACAGTTTAGGAAAAGTCACGCGTCACCACTGTCAAATACAATAGTCTCAGAACAGTCTCAAATTAAATTCTTGCCCCATGTTTGGGAAACACCCCATACATGAGTGAACTAAGACAATGCCATCATGCTGAGTTATGCTTAACTCTTACGATTAGATACTCGTAACTATGATGCTTGCTACTTGCCATCTGCTTTCAATCAAATGAAACCGCGTTTTATTTTGTCCGTCAAAAAGGATTTTTATTTCAATTCTCACAGCGTTGCAGAAGCGTGAAAGTTTTTTTTATGTTCTTGTCCGAATGTCTGAATTTTCAGTTAACTACCTTTTCAATCACAGAACCCATGGGGCTCAATTTCCATTAATCCACTAACTTAAATGCAGTGCTACCAAGTCAAAAAATGCAGAATCACTATTTTTTTATATTTGCGTCAAGCTGAACCTATAGGCAATCAGACTAACGCAACTCTATTATTTCCACGCCATCATCGACGCGCTTATAAATTGATCAGGCTTGCCTGTGTTTACCAGGTATGGTGAAGTTTCACCAAATCTAGTGCTTTTTCACCAGCCTGTATCCACTTTACATAATTTGCGAAAAGTCATTTGATCAATTATATGAAAGAGATTCGAATGTCATAACTACTAGTGGTCAAACTAGATTCGCCCGGAGGAAAAATGACCCTCCTGGATCCGCGCTTGCTATAGACGAGAGGCCACTGGATCAAAACGCATCTTTAAGTGGGGTGCAAACCAGAGCGGTGGCGGCCGCGTTGGCGATAGCGATCGCGGTGGCGAGCAAATAAGGCGCATGTAACTAAACCGAAGTGCGCACACCTGCGACGATCTGGCAAACGTGCCGGCTCAAGAGAGCAAAGATGCCGCGTTCTACGCAGCCAACTGGCGGCCCGCGGTAGAACTCCGCATGCATCATTTGCCCTCATAGTCCGCGCGATATTCTTTCTGCGGAGTAGTAGCAAACATGTGTGATACCGAAAAACCTGTATGGATTGTCTCACAGTGACTTTGCTTTCCCGATCGCAATTGATATCATGAGCCCACATCCTTCGCTTTTTCCTAAACAAAAAAAAGAAATGTAAATAATGACGAGTACATTTTGGATTTGCAATTTTTTCTATTCTTATTATTATTAGTAACTAGCTGACCCGACAGACGTTGTCCTGTCTTAGCTATGAACTGGGATGAACAATAAAAATGTTTCGAAATCAAAGTGTTTATTCTAACGCTTTTTGATACATTTTTTGTTATCTGGTGCGTAAATAAATAATGATGATGCCGACGCGGAAACAGGCTACATACAACTGGCCGTGTGAAAAACATTTTTAAACTTGAAATTCTTGCAATGTGGATACACAACGTTCATTGGTCCAATAGCATCGATTTGATGTGAATTTTAATCGATTATCACGTCATAATTGAATGCAGCTCGATCGGGATTAAATGCATCATTTCTACGTTGTTAAATTCCAGTCCTTCGATCTCGTTCAACATCATTTCTCGCTTCTCGTTGCACGTCAGTTTGACTTCTTCTACCTTTGACTCGCAGTCATTGCGACCTGGGTTGGTACGTCTCACAATTTTAATATAAGGCTTGATTGCGGTCGACTAACTTCCACCCTTGTTTATTATTTTTGTGCAAATACTTCATAAAATCTCACTGAACAAACTGAAAGCTGAATAAAAGCTCTAATCGAATGGACTGTGTACGACTAATTAAATAAAGACACATTTTTTTAATGATAATATAAATTTGCGGCGTGCGAGTTGTCAAGTTCAAATGATAGACGTATTTTCATCCGCCATTTTCATTCATAGAGTTAACTGACAAAGATAACAATTAGGCAACACAGCAGTTTCTTTTGAAACATCACAAAGTACGGATGGTAAAAAAATGTAATTCCAAAAACAAAAGCACCGTGTTTTCAAAAGCAATTTTCTATCACAGCTAACTGTCAATAGCTATTGGAATAAAGACGGAGAGGAGTGCCGGTCTCTTTTTGTACTTGAAATATTTTTTCTGCTGTGCGTAGTAGTTTAATTTCCCAATTTTCTTTCCGTAAAAACCTTCTATACAGCATTAGGAAACTTTTAAAACAAAGAAAGGTTTAAAAAAACAAGTTTTTAAAAAAACAAGAATGATGCTTTTTGTTTAAAATATTCAAATTTAGCTTTAAAAAAACATGTTTAAGACACTGTTAAAACATGTTTAAAACAGTAAAAAAAATTAAAAATTATTGCCTATATAACCTAGCAACTTTAATGAAGTTCCTTGAAAGTGTTATTACTATTTTTGATTCACCTCTATCAGAGCACATTTCGAATTTAAAAGCGTAAAAAAGTACCGTTTGCCTTTGGGTAATTTTTCGCGTTGCGGTTGCGATCTGCAGCAGTCAAATGTGCGAAGTCGTAGCATGGTGGTGTGTTTTGTTTTTTGTGCATTAAAGATCGGCAAAAAAGAAAGGCGATTACAGGGAGGAGAAAGGATCCCGTGCGGAAATATTTCAAGGAGATTCATGCGAAAGCTGGCTCGAAAATAAATAAAAGAGCAAAATGTTTAACCTGGAATATGGATATAGCGCCACTGGTGGCAAGAATGCGCAAGCATAATAAAAATTGTAAACGACTCAAAACAAAATATTCATATATCAGATAGTTCTGATACCGACAATGGTGATGTATCTACCGAACCTATTTCCTCAAAGTTGATTAGCTTGGAGAATTGTGAAAAAGGTATTTTTTTTACTTGGAGATACGTAAAAAGTAGTCAAAAATAAAAATTTATTCTATGTTCCTACATTTTCCATGATTTTATATTTTAAAAATATGGATGATCTAAGGATTTTTTGTTAAATAAGATGGGTTGTATACTTTTATAGAAATTTGTTAAGTAACTTATTTAATGGTATTATATAAGTAAATACATAGTCATATTATATGTTTATTCTGCTGCTTGTAGTGTATATTAGAGTTCAATGCAGTTCACTCGTTCGTTAAGAAACACATTTGAACAAAGATGAATGGGATCGGTAAAGTCGTTCTCAATTCAGCTCGTGACCTTGGGAAATAATTCATTTTTATATACAGGGTGTCCCCAAAGTTGGGGTTTTCCTTTACACGACGTGTATATCTTGAGGAAATAAGCGGATTTCCTTAGTAACTTATTCACCAATCTCTTAAGAGAATCGAGATATTGGACTCGGCAAACTCAATCAAACCTGAACCAAACTGAAGCCAGCCCTGTCCTATCCCTCGATCACGTCCACAGCGCCAGCGCCAACGTACAGTTATACGACGTACGACTACGATGTAAATACGGATTTTACGACAGAGCCGTACTTGGAATTTCAATTCAACTGAACAGTGAGTACTTTTCCAGTTATTTTTTTTTACTTGTTCGCTCACGTTTCACCACACATTAGCTTTGTTATATCGAGCGTAGTTGTGTTTGAAAACGAAAACCCCAACTTTGCAGACAGTATATGGATTTTTTTACGTATTTACCTTTGCCTTTCCTCATCTTCATCCACCAACAAAGCCAAAGCGAAGCTTCTTCTATATCATGTGCACTCATTGCATACTTTAATTCTGAATACTCGTACTTTTAAAGATACTAAATTTGTCGCTGAAAAATCGCATTGATTTGGGGACATGTAGTCCGCCTGGTGACCGCCCCACTCTACACGTTGGGTGCTTGGGAATTGATTAATTAAACACAGATATTCTAGAAATGATATTTAATCCTATTACAATGTATCTTATGCGCAATAATAGTCACATCCGTATAAAACTCTTTCAAAACGTCTGAGCAGCCATATCGTCTGCACAGATCCCCAACATGGCCAAGTCGTCATCCGGGGGCAGGGGCGGGGGCTGTAGGGGCATCGCGTACGCGTTTGCCGGGGGTGGTGGTGCTTCCATTGGATCCTTTTCGAACGTAGGGGGGTGGTACATGTCCGACTGCTGATGCTGGAACATCATGTTGTAATCCTGGAAACGGGTACATCATAAGAATCAGCGAATATCCCTATCGATTTTAGGATCTGTATTCAAAATTCAACTGACAGAAGTCAAAAAACCAAAATTTCTATCCTACATTATCCAGCTCAAAAAATATTTCTGTTGGTGTACCGCAAGGTAATAAACTGGGTCCACTACTATTTATTTTACACATTAATAACACTTGTAATATTTTAGATTATTGTGAAATTCAGATATTTGCAGATGATACATTAATATACATATCAGATGAAAATATAGCTTTAGAAATCCTAAATTCTTGGCAAAAATCATAATTTGGTTAAACGTGAATAAGCTAAAATTGAATGCTTCTAAAACAAAATGTATGCTAATAGGGACATAATTGAATGAAAATACTATCACAGTTAGGATAAATGGTGAAATAGTTGCAAAAGACGAATCAATTAAATATTTGGGTATATATATTTATAGTAAACTAAAGTTTGAGGATCACTATGAATCGATTATTCAAAATTTAAATGATTATAAATAAATTACTTTTATAGGGCTTCTCATAGTCTTAGTGCATGTTCCAAAAAAATATTGTATAATACAAATATTCTAACACATTTACTATATTGTTCAACTATCTTGTTCACTGCCCATGAAGAGGTATTCTCAAAATTACAACAAAATAAAGCTATGACAGTAATACTGAATAAAAAAAAGTATGTACACCAAATTAAAATCTGCCACAAGAATTGCAGTGGTTGAATATAAAAAATTTCATATATTTGGTTCTTATTTTCATATTTAAAATAAAAAATCATCTTTTGTCACGATATTTAAAATATTACATAGAACTGAATAATTATAACCACAATTATTATACAAGATTAAATATAGATTTCCATTTACAAAATTGCAATAGTAATATAACTAGCAAATCAATATTTCAGATGGGATTACTTTAATAAATTAAATAATGATATAAAGTCTACCTGTAATTTAAATATGTTTACAAGGAAATTAAAGGAACATTTCATGGACAGTGAAAATTCTTAGAGATGCAAGTTTTGTTTTTCTGCATGTTATGTATTTGTTGTAGTTTGTTAAAAATAATGTGTGCAGCAATCATGCTGAATAAATCTTAAACAAACCAACAAATATGAACATGGTGATTTTTGGTGACAAATGATATCAACTGGTTTAGAACAATTATCATTGAAGGTAATGTGAAAAACATTTCGAGCTCCGTAAAAAAAAGGCGTCAAGTAGATTGACTTTATACTTCCAATTCATTCGCATGCAACTACTAGTGAAATTTTCCATAAAGTACAATGACATCAACAAGACGTAACGCATTATTTGAGCTTTTCATGGAAAAAAAATCCTCGGATTGCATCAATGAACGTATCCGTAAACAGCAGCCTTAAGAAGAAGATTGATATAACATACTATGGGGTTTTGGTAATTAGCTACTGAGATGTAAGGTGTTTTGTTCAGAAAAACCGTCCACATCGGCAACCCGTCAATCCGCCATTTTGAAATTTGAAGTGCTGAACTTTGTATCAAAAAAAAAACTTACACACCCTAAATTTTTATCTTATTTGTTACTTTTTCGAATTTTCATGTTCACTCATGCAGGGTGGTCAAAAATGCGAATTGTAGTTTTTCTCAAAAATTTTAAATGCATCACCCTGTATAATTGTGCAAGTATGGATTAAATTTTTTATAAGCTTTTTTGGTATAAAGTTTGATTCAGATAAAATCACTAGATTTTGAGTTAGTAAGCTTTTAATAGAACAACACACCAAAATTAAGGAAAAAAATCACATCTTCCAAGGAAACAAAAGATAGTGGGCTAGTTTCATATTGCCACTAAAAGTACAGATTTGACGTAAAAACTAATAACAATCAGAACAGCTTCAAGCGTAATAGAGAAAAACAACTATAACAACAACATAAACAAACACCTATCAGTACTCAAGACCTAATCTCCTCTTCTAATCTTCAAAAACTGCTCGAAAATATCTCCACCAAGTTGAATGCACAGCCGTAGTCTTTGGATAAATGACCGTTGCGCATCCCTCAGCATGTGTTCCCTTATGTTCATAAAAGCATCCTTAATCCTTTCCTTCATATTTTCTGGGTTGGATGGTAGATATCTATAAACCTCTTGCTTAACGTAGCCCCATAGAAAGAAGTCCATCGGCGTCATATCTGGTAATCTAGGAGGCCAAGATATAGGCCCATCACGACCGATTCAACGATTGTTACTCCACGTGTCCAAATAGTTGCAAACGCGATTGTGATAATGCGGAGGTGCGCCGTCATGTTGGAAGTACATATGCATCCGAGTTTGCAGGTTGACATCCTCCAAAAGCAATGGCAAACGCTCGATCAAAAATTTCAAGTATTCTGTACCTGTTAATCTGTTGTCGAAAAAGAAAGGCCCGATAACTCGTCTGCCAATAACTCCTCCCCGAACATTCAAGCTCCATTTATTTTGTAAATCTATTAGCCTAACCCAGTAAGGGTTTTTCGTCGCATAATAGTGCATGTTATACCTGTTGACAACACCTATGCCGTTAAAAGTTGCCTCATCGCTAAATAAAAAGAACGTTATCCAGGAAAGTAGTGTCTTCACTCACTTTATTTAGCATTATTCTACTAAACTCCATTCGAGCTGCGAAATCCTGAGGACGAAGGCCTTGATGCAAGCATAGGTGATATGGATGGTACCTATGCTTGTGAATAATGATTTGGACAGAAGTTCTGTATATATCACTTTCTGCTCCAATTTGCCGTGCATTTAAATGGGGATTTTCCTGCAACTTTAATAGAACCTCCAACTGTTTCGCCTTATTGGTGACACTTGGATTATTTATACATTTTTTACTATATTCCACTGCTCCACTTGATTCAAAATTCTCGTAGTGTGGAAAATGTTTCCGGCCTTGAATGTCGCATATTAGAGTACCGTTGCTTATAAATGCGACATGCTAGGAAACTATTTCTTTTGGCTTCGCCCAAAACGAACACCATATCCACCATTTCTTCTTTAGAAAAATTCATTTTCGAACACGTTTTTAGTATAATGCTCACAAAGCTAATTTTGACAGTTTGTAACTAATTAACAATTTATTTGTTTCCAAGGGTGATGCGATATTTTAGGAAATTAAGCTGTTCCATAAAAGTCGTGGTAATACTCGAAAAAATAGCCGTAAAAACCCTTGTATCATCTAGTATCTAGTATCAAAAAAAGCTTATAAAAAAATTGAATCCAAGCTTGCATAAATATACAGGGTGATGCATTTGAAATTTTTGAGAAAAACTACAATTTGTTTTTGACCAACCTGTATGAGCAAAAATTAAAATTGAAAAGTAACAAATAAGATAAAAGCTGAGGTGTGTAAGTTTTTTTTATACAAAATTCAGCACTTCAAATTTTAAAATGGCGGACTGAGGGGTTGCCGAATTGGGGGGTTTTGCTAAACAAAACACCTTATATCTCAGTAGCTAATTACCAAAACCCTATATTATGTTATATTAATTTTCTTCTTTTGAATTGGTTTATCCAAATATGCAATAAAATTTGAGGCATTCTATTTGAAAAATCACAACTTTGATATGTAGGACGAAATTGGGACACTCTGTATAATGGCCAATATTTTAGAAATGTGCCCTCATCATCATCCTATAAATAGATTTTCCCAAACTGTATTTGTTTATGAGTAATATTCCGTCCACACATGGATGGGCCACCCTGTATAATAGTGGGCAGTACTTTTTGAATAGCATCGACATTCTGTTGGAATTACCGCCAATTTAAGGCTTTTGGAATTTTTTGTCGTAAAAGGACTTGATTCTGCTGGAAAATCGAATTATTAGTGGCAAGAACCCCATGGGAAGTAGTTCTTTTACGGCTTTCAAAGCATAACACTTCTCAGCGTCTGCTAAGAGATGTGGTTTTGTCGGATCAAGAAGACTACTAAAAGATGATACAGATTCATCTAATTGCCTTAAATTAAAATCTGTCAAACGCTGATTCGAGATTTTTGAATTCTTGTACGACATCAGAAAGAGTTGAATCAAGATGGCGCACTCTGCAGTTCGATGCATTTAGTGGAGTTCGGTCCAAACCTTGAATATCCTACTTGCTACTGTTACACCCTCTGGCTCACCTGATAATACTGCCCCATGCTGTTCGGATTCATCGCCTGTCCGCTTTCGCCGTACAACACCTCGTCATCGCTGAGGTTCTTCTCGGCAGTTTTCCCTTCGATCTTCGGCGGAGGTGGTGCTTTCGGAAGGACGGACTTTTCCTTGCTGATCGTGGGAGGGGCGGGGGCTTGGGGGATCTTTGGTTCCGGTTTCGGTATTTCGGTGACTAAAGGCGGAGGCGGCGGCAAGTTCAGCGGCGGGATGCTGGATAGTTTCGGGAAGCAGACTACGTCCGGTCTGGGCATGAACGCCTGAAAGGTACATATATGTTAGAGGGGAGTCACATTACCCAAGTAGCATCAAAAGTGCGTTTTAGGTTTAATAACGTGGGTGCTGGCGGCCCAAAGCATGAATTTAAGCGAGAATAGTCAGATTTTCAAAAAAAAGAAGCGAGACTTTATACATAAAAAAGTGAGTTAATTTTCTGAAAAATTGAATATCATAATTCCAAATTTAAATGGATAATTTAATAATATGCGAATATTTAAGGGTGTGAATCTACATGAAAAATTAATGTTAGTTTGCTTTATAAACTATGGTCCAAACATGTTTCCTTACAAAAACTTGGGGCGTTGAAGCTTTAGGGAAAAAAATGGGAATTAACTAACATTAATTTTTCATGTAGATTCACACCCTTAAATATTCGCATATCATTAAGGAACACCCTCTATAAATAAGAAAGTGTGAAGAAAACGAGAATAACTCTTGTAAGGTCTTTGTTACTGTTTTATTGACGTATGCAAAAATATTTATTTATATCAGATAACCAAATAAGTTCTTGCGGTTGCTGTATATCGCACATTGCCATGGATGTTGTTAATCGATTGCGATTGTTTGCTACCTGTTGTCACTTTAGTATGAATCCTTCGTTTCTCACACACATAAAAAGTTGCTGACAATTTTTACATACCTAGTTTTAATCATTGAAAATAGCGACGAATAAAACAGTAATTCGAAGTTGTTTACTGTATGAGTACAAACTTGGTACAAAAGCTGCACCGGCGGCGCGAAAAATATGTATCCCATTCGAAGATGATGCCGTTAGTGATCGAATAGCACAGAAGTGGTTCAAAAAATTTTTTCGGGAGATCTCAGTTTGAGCGATGAACCTCGCCCAGCGAGACAAAAAATCATGAACGAGGATCTGTGACAGGTTGTGGACGCAAATTCCAGGACAACGCGCCAAGAACTTGCAGAAATGTTGAGAGTGAGTCCTGAAACTATTCGTTTGCATCTCCATCAGCTAGGAAAGACGTGGAAGTTAAGCAAATGGGACCCACATGAACTGACAAATGATAACAAAGTCGGCTTACCATTTGTTCAGAAAACATTTCACGCGACGCTAATGAACCATGTCTTGATCGGTTATTAACCTGCGACGAAAAATGGATCTTGTATTCGAATTCTAAGCGTTCGTATCATTGGTTGTCGCCTACTGATTCGGAGCCACACATGCCCAAGGCTTCCTTGCCCCCAAACAAGGTTTTCTTGTGTGTTTGGTGGACTGCAACTGGAACTGTCCATTATGAGTTTTTGGAAAGGAGTCGAACCATCACTGTTAACTTGTATTGTGAGCAGCTTCAACGAGTACAAGCAGCACTCATCCAGAAGCAGCCTTCTTTAATCAATCGGAAGAAAGTGATATTCTTGAAGGATAACGCCCAGCCTCATACCGCAAAAGTGACCCGAGAAAAAATTTCTGAACTCGGCTGGGAAACGTTACCGCACCCGCCATATTCTCCCGACATTTCGCCCAGTGATTATCACCTTTTTTTGTCTCTTGACAACTGTATGAGGCACCGACAGTTCACAACTCGAGATGGTGTAATAAACGCAGTCCGCCAATTTTTTTACTCCAAATCCAGGGAGTTCTACAATACCGGCATACAAAAATTGGTTCCACGTTGGCAAAAGGTCATTATTGATTGTGATGGTAATTACTTCGACGAATAAATATAGTGCCTTATAGTTGTTTCGTATCAGTCACTTTCCTCCTGAGGTTGAGGTGTAAGCGTCATTTCGTTCAGTTTGCTTGAAATTGATGTCACTCATTTTTATAACACAATAGGAAAAACTGTTACACAAAATTGCAAACAAACTAAATGAATATTTTGTGGAAAGTATTGTTGATATTGTGGGTACTGCCAATGCTGCACCTGACTATATGAAAATCAGTTTCCAAGGGGAAATGTTGCATACACTTTCAAAATTTCACAGCGTATCATTGAATTATCTAAGAAAAAAAGTAAACAGTTTAAAATCAAATAACAACTGTACCGAAATCACTACTAAAAACGTGCTGAAAAACTGTTTCGAAATTTTGGGATATCCTGTATTAAATTGGATCAATTGTTCACTGAGAAGCAGTTCTTTTCCTGAAAATTTGAAATGCTCTACAATAACACCAGTTCCAAAAATAAAAAATTCGAAAAGATGCAGCCATATGAGACCAGTAAATGTGTTACCAGACATTGAAAAATTATTAGAGTCCATAGTGCATGACCAATTGATGCAGTTTATAGAAGAAAACAAAATTTTAGTGGAGGCGCAAGCAGGCTTTCGAAAAAAATATTCCACAGAAACGGCATTCCAGTTGGTAACTGAGAATTGGAGAAGAGCTATAGACTAAGAAGTTGTCATAGCAGTTTTTTTGGATTTGAAGAGGGCATTTGAAACGATTGATAGAGATATTTTGTTAGGTAAATTGAAGGCATATGGTATAACAGGAAGTGTTTTAGATTGGTTTAGAAATTATTTGTCTAAAAGGATGCAAGTTACAAAAGTTACTATTTGACACTATTTCATCAAAAATTGAAAATACGTTGGGTGTTCCACAGGGCAGTATCCTGGGACCACTTCTTTTTATTTTATACATAAATGATTTACCTGCCATAGTCAAAAAATGCAAAATTCAGATTTTCGCCGATGACACTATGATTTATATAAGTACTAAAAATATTCAGTCTGGTATCTCTTATATAAATGAAGACTTGAAGCTTGTCTCAAAATGGTTAGCATCTCACAGACTAAAATTACATGCAAGTAAAACGAAAGCCTTGTTAATCGGAAAAAAACAATGTACAAATGTTCAACTGAATATTGATGGTGAAGATATTGAATTCGTAGAAAATTGTAAATACCTGGGGGTTTTTGTAGACTCTCGATTAATTTTTGATATTCATTATGAAAAAGTTATAAATAAGATTAGTAGTAAAGTGGGATATTTATCGAGAGTTTCTGGATGTCTGAGTTCATATAGCAGAAAAATTATCTATAATCATTCTTCCAAATTTCTTGTACTGTTCGACTATTCTATATTTAGCAAATAATTCCATTTTTGAAAGACTGCAAATTTTACAAAATAAGTGCATGAGAATAATACTAAATAAAGATAAATGTACTCCAATTAGTCAAATGCTTAGCAAATTAAAATGGCTCAATGTAAAAATTTTTATCAAATATCTTGTAATGATATTCGTTTATAAAGTAAAAAATAATATATTTCCATCAAGTCTAACTAATTTAACATCATCAAATGTCGACCATCATTTACATAATACCAGAAATAAAGATGACTTCCATTTAATGACCAAAAAGTATAACATATGCTACAAATCTGTATTCCATCACGGGTTGATTGAATATAATAAATTATACTCGGGGATAAAAGACCAGAAAACTTTGACAAAATTTAAAGTAAAATTGAGAAATCACTTGTTAAATCTACGATTATAGGTTGCCCAGCATTTATATCATACACCATATGGCTTGAATTTACTAGTTCTAAGTTGTTTACAATTATTCTGTTTATGTAGCCAAATATGCTAAATAAATCTTTCTACTACTACTACTACTACTAAAAAAAATCGCTAAGGACAACCCAGCGAGTTCAAACTTGTACTGAGGGCTCATCACATGTTCCCCTATCTCCTCTCCAGGCCCGGCATTTCCAGTGTTGCCAGATCGAATGCTACGTTGCCAATCTCATCACTTGATTCACAGACCTCATATGCTTCCGGATACCATATATTTATAGTTTGCTTTAAAAACTTGTTTAGAAGCAATGTTCGGTTAGGACACCAATGTATGTTTTCCACTCACCTTCGCTAAATTTCCCGGCTGGAATCTGGTCCGCCTCTGCGGCTCGTAACTTTCCTTTTGGATCTCCTTTGTACCCTTCTCCTCCTCAACCTTTTCCGCTGTAGATTTCTTATTTTTAAACAGCGGCATCCTACCAATGAACGGCAACTTCTTGTAACTGGGCGGACCAGGTGGTCTCTTCTTAGCGTCGCCGTTTTCTTCACCCTTCTGTTCAGCAGGTTTGGGACTGCGACTTCTCGAGCGATGGTTGCTGTATGAACTTCTATCACTATCCTTCCTGGCCCTACGCAACAAGATAATAGTCGTTCATAAGGATAATACGCTAGGATAGGAAAGACAAAATAAAAAATGGCGTCGAGTAGATTGACTCTGTACTTTCGACGTCTTCGTTGCCACAAAAAAAAACTGAAAACAGAATACAATCACAAAGATATGTGATAAGTTACAAGTTCAAAATGTAAGAGTATTAAATATGATGTATACAAAATTCAGGTGTTAAAAGTATAAATTGTAAAATGAGATGACAGATAAATTTCAGCAACCGACACATAAATAAATTTCTTCATGTCTCTTAAATTCGTCATATGATAGTAATTTTGTGGCTTATGGTATATCACTTTAAAAAATAACTGCGGTGTAGGTGAATTTACGAAAGAATGATGTCCTGTGAGCTTTTCCGCGAATTGTATGTCCCTAGAATGAATATTGGTTCTGGATGTCAAGTTACAGCAGACGCTCGATAATGTAAACTAATTTAATAAAAGTGTGGTTCACATTATCGAAATGTTTACATTAGCGAACGTGATTTATGTATATAATATTTGATTTATTAAAAGAAACGTTTAAAACATACTATTTATAACAAAATAAACAAATATTCTAACAGCGATAAGTATTTTTTTAATTAGAAGAAAAATAATTAACAATTTTTGTCTGCGTAAATTTGCGCTTAGCATTGTCTTCCAATGCCTGCGCCCGTAATTTACGAAGAACTAAAATATCCGTGTATGAAACTTCTTTTCTTTCAGCCCAATCTAAAGCTTGGTTAAAAACTTGCATAGCTTGCGCGTCAGTTACTACACTTCTGACTTCAATGGGATCGTTCTCATCATCCTCACTGTCCATATCCTCCTCCTTATCAGCATCATTCGTCTGCTTATCTTCGTTCCATAAATTAATATCAGCATTAGTACAAACAATGTTGGGATTCACTGTTTTCAATAAATCAACAACATCCAATGACACACTAATAACATTATCATTATTGGATCGCAAACGTTCTCTAATTACGCTTAAGGGGACATCGTCTTCTTCATCATCTTCATTATTGGTACAAAAGAGATTGTTCCAACATTTTTGAATAGTTATGTAAATAATATGTAAATCTAAAACAGCATCTCGTAATGTTACTTTTTTTAAAGCCTCAGATAAGTTTTCAGGATTCTTTGATAAGACAGACGAAAGTAGAAACTTCCTATAGTATAGATTGGTGAGTCTTATTATATTCTGGTCCATCGGTTGAATTAACAGTGTTACGTTGGGCGGCATGTACATGGCGAAAATTGACCCATCCCTGCTCCTCAGTTGTTGCTCGGGAGGATGACTTGGTGCATTATCCAATAGTAACAACACTTATTGGAAGCTTCTGTTGTTTTAGGAAACCTTTTACCTACAAATTGAAAACACATCTTCAAATTATGAATAGAGCATTTGTGATAATTGATTGTCATACCTGAGGGACAAAGCACCTGTGGAACCATTTCAGGAATATACTGCTAGTCATCCAAGCGGTTTTTGAACAGTCATTATCAACAGGGATATTAACATTTTTAAATGAGCGCGGATTTTTTCTTTCCCAATTACCAGTGGCTTTATTTTGTGTGAACCCTTAGTATTAGTGCAGGCTAGAAACGTTATTCGTTGTTTCTCCGGCTTTCTTCCCGGGGCAGATTTTTCAAATGATGCAGCATAGGTTTCCTCTGGTAACATTTTCCAATAAAGGCCACTTTCACCTGCGTTGTAAATTTGTTCCATTCTTAAATCTAACTCGGTAATTGTTTTCATCAATTTTTCTTTGAATGGTTGCACTAATTGTGGTTGTGCTGATAATTTTTCACCAGATATAGACAGCAGTCGAATTCCATATCTTGTTTTGAATCGTTGTAGCCAGCCATCACTAGCTACGAAATTTTCAGTTTCTTTCAGTTTTTCATTTAACAGTCTCGCTCTCTGTTTAAGTACTTCGCCACTAACTGGGACATGATTTTCCTGTTGTTTCAAAAACCACTTATACAGGGAATTTTCCATTTTAGGTGCCTTCGCATTTTTTAAAGTTTTTCTTTTTCCCGGACCTCCAAATGTATTGCACGTTCTTTGTAAAATTTGAGTTTTTATACGCTTAATTTTACAGATTGTTGCTTTCGATATTCCATATTTTTTTGCACACTGTGTCACTCCCGCACCTAGTGCAACTTCGTCTATGATTTTCACTTACTCACTCAACTTTAAACACTTTCTTTTATAGGATCTGGATGCCATAGTCGTAAAATATATTAACGCGTGCAATGTATTCACTTAAGTTCAAAAATGAAATACATACGTACGTATAAACGTATCCTAAACGATCATACGACTGACCGAGTTTGTCGTATTTTATCGCAGAGGTGAATCCCCTACACTCTACATCATAAATCGGGGACTCCCCGACGCCCGACATAAATCATCGAGGCTTCAGCATTTTACCGTCGCGCTGTTTCCGTGCGCCGAGAGTTGTTTACGTTTTCGAGCGTACACATTGTTTACGTTATCGCGCGTTCCGTTTGATCCTACAGAACGAAGTTTGTGTTTACATTAGCGCAAGTTTTCATTATCCCGTGTTTACGTTATCGAGCGTCTGCTGTATTTCTCATAATCCCGGAGTATGAATTGAAAAATCGTTCATTCTACTTTTGAGACCATACTCGCACTTTAGTTGTTATGCATATTACCTATCACGTTTGTATTTCTCGAATTCGTCTTCGTCACTCCTATCGTCCGAATCATCTCGCCGTTTTCTGTAATTCGTCTTGAAACGCACTTGATTTCTATTTCTGATTCGATCAGCTTCTTCTTCTTCGCGTCTTCTCATTTCTCTTTCAGCAGCTTCAGCAGCCTCCCTAAAAACATTTTTTAAACTGTACCTCAAACACCATCGATCGCAGCTGCGTAGTACTTCAGAAGGAATAGCTTCTTAAAAGATTCCGAAATGTAACACTGTCCATATTAACTTTTATACTTCCACAAACTTCTCTTTAGTTTGCGAGGGTGGTCCCAGAAGTACCCGGCCTGACCTAGAGATGGCGATAGTTGTTTGAAAAATATCATTGTTTTAGAAAGTATGCAACCTATAAAGCATATGTGTCAAGTTTGAAGACGCCACGTTGTTTAGTATTTGTTTGGCAGCCATCAATACTGAACGTTTTCAGTGAATTTGTGAAAATGGAGAAAATTGGTCGTCGCTATGTGGTACAATACTTTTATTTTAAAGGCCTCAGCCAACCAATATAAAAGCTGAACTGGATTCTACTCTGGGTGAGTCTGCTCCTTCGTTTACAATTATTGGGTAGCAGACTTTAAACGAGGCCGTATGAGCTGCCAAGACGAGCATCGACCAAATGAGGTGACGACTCCAGAAATGGTGAAGAAAATTCACAAAGCGGCACTGAATGATCGTCGACTGAAAGTGCGCGAGCTAGCAGACATAGTAGGCATTTCAAAAAGTGCGGTTCATCGCATATGCTCTGAAAATTTGGACATGAGAAAGCTGTGTGCAAGATGGGTGCTGCGATTGATCACAATCGAGCAAAAACAGTGTCGTGAAGATGTTTCAATTGAGTGTTTAGCGAAGTTTCACAGAAACAAAGCAGAATTTTTGCGTCGTTTCATAACCATGGAAGAAACATAGGTCCATCACTTCCCACCCGAGACAAAAGAACAATCAAAACAATGGACTCAAAAGGGACAACCGGCTCCAAAGAAGGCGAAGACCGTTTCATCTGCAGGCAAGGATATGGCGTCGGTTTTTTGGGATGCGCGTGGGATAATTTTCATTGACTATCTTAAAAAAGGTAAATCTATCAACGGCGAGCATTATGCGATCTTATTGCAACGTTTGAGCGATGAAATCAAGCTAAAATGGCCGCATTTGGTTAAGAAGAAAGTTTTGTTTCATCAAGACAATGCACCAGCTCACAAATCCGTTATTGCAATGGCCAAAATTAACGAATTAAAGTTTGAATTGCTACCTCATGCACCCTATTCACCAGATTTAGCCCCCTCGGATTATTTTGTTTCCAAACTTGAAAACATGACTGTGGTCAAAGATTTTCCAACGATGAAGAAGTGATGTCGGCAGTTAATTATTTCGAGGAGCAAGACAGTTCTTATTATAAAAAGGGTATCGAATCGCTGAGAAAAGTGTATAGAGCTCAAAGGAGATTATGTTGAAAAATAAATACATTTTTTTACAAAAATTTTGTGTTTTCTTCGTTGGGTCGGGTACTTCTGGGACCACCCTCGTGTATATAATAGAATATAATATAAAAAGATTAACAACCTATTGAATTCCCTTTTTACAGAAAATTTTACGCGTCCAGAAAAAAATCCACACGAAAATCTTCCTAATTACCTGATTTGTCTTTGCCTTTTTTCTTCGATTTCTCTGTCACGTTTTTCTTTCTCCAGCTTCTTCAGTTCTATCTCGGCCATTCTAGCTCGTTCGATCTCATGTTTTTGTTTCATTCTGTCCTTGAGACTCTCTAGCAGCTTCTTGTCTTTTTCTGGAGGTTGAGATATCGTCATCCATTGGTTGATGAGCGGATCGTCTTTTTCTTCGCTACCCATTCTATCTCTCTCTTCCTTCTTATGTTGTTCCACCTGAAGATCAAACAAAAAGGACATGACATGTGCGGTAAAAAGACTGAGTTAATTGTATTCGTGAAATTTTTGCACTCATATTTTAAACTTTCATCAACATTTTTCTATTTATTTTAGTACTTGATTGCTTTTTGAATGTGAAAACTTAGCAATTTGTCCAAAATTCACCTATTATCGAATATTTTTAAGTATTTTTATAAGAGCGCATGGTCGCAACACTTTCTACTAAAAGACAATAACACAAGATAAACCCAAAACATGTATAAAAATAAAAGTCTCGCTTCACTGCGTTCATACCATAGCAAAGAAATTAGGTCTCATTATAATTGGATATTTATTTGTTTCTAATGTTTAACCATGAATTCGATGTTTTCATCGATTTACGCAGGTGCCAGACTGATATTCATATGACATTTTCTGTCATGCTTATTAAAAAAGGGCAAGGGATAAACTAATTGTATCTGCGATGCGTTCAACAGATTTTTCTCATCAACTTTTGAGGAATCACAAATTAGTTTAATTGGATTTCTTCACATTGTGAAAGTAGGTGTCACGCGGACTGAGAAAAAATGGAAACTTGAAAAATTTGACACAATTTTCTGAATTGAAGGAAAAAACCGAAGTGATGTGAAATGTCTTAATGAGAGTTTATTGTTCAAAATGACACAACCAGGGACTTTCTATATCAAAGTAAAAGCTAGATATCGGCAAAAAATCCGCATGTTACTAACTGTACGCTAATAATGTCGCGGATTGACTCCTGTATCGGGCGGTTACTCCGTGACGCAAAAACTGGCGCCTGTGATGGTGATTTTTTTATCTGAATTGCGGTTATATCATTCCAAAAAAAAAAAACAGAAAAACAAAAAAAACATATACACTGAAAACCAAATTTGTCTGGCGGGTTCGATGTCTACGAGGGAGAAGTGTGCATAGACACATATGTTAGAAAGATAAAGAAGCCGGCTGGATACCGAAACTCATCACCGCGTTGCCTAGCAACGCTGACGCGACAGTCTCAATATGTTACACCATGCTTGAATTAAGATGCATGTTGAAAATATGCTTTAGTTTACACTCTACGGCCAAATAATGGTTTTATTTTGAGCGTACACATTTTTGAATTGTCGAATCTGTTTAGGATCGATTTCGGATCGGTCCCAATGGCGCTTCATTTTAGTTCGAAACGAAAGCAGCCTGCGCGGCTGCTTCAGGATAATAAAAAAAGTTGAGCTTCGCTACAAATTCTGAGACGGTGCATCATTAGTTCGCTTGGCAACGCCGCATCTCGTACATTCCAAGGCAAGGTTTCCACCTCCACGATCATAGATGAGCGATTTTGGACCCCATCTAGCGCTCATTGGGGAGTGTCGTCCTGCTTTGGAATGGTTTTCACCTGCGTACATGCAGACAGTGATAATTTGTATTGCTAAATGGTACAGGGTGCGTCATCTATTAGTTTGTTTTCTATTTGAAACATCATCACGCTTTTTACGAGGTGAAATCCAACATCCGAACATCAAAATTTTCAATGACTTTTCCCAGAATAATCTGGTCTATGGCCGCAATTTCAGTCCGAATATTGCGCTTTAGGTCTTGAATTGTCCGGGGACCATTCGCATACACTTTTCCTTTCAAAAATCCCCAAAGAGGATAGTCAAGAGGGGTTAAATCGCACGATCTCGGGGACCAACTGACATCGGAGTTTCGTGAAATTATGCGGTCTTGAAATTTCGTGTGCTATAAGGCGATTGTTTGGCGAGATGTGTGAGCCATTGCTCCGTGTTGATGAAACCAAAGATCGTCGGCACCAATACGATCCAATTTTGGCCACAAAAAGTCTGTTAACATGCCGCGATAACGTTTCCCATTGATGGTAATGGCCTTTTCTTCAGCATCTTCAAAGAAGAATGGTCCAACGATGCCACCAGCCCATAATCCGCACCAAACAGTCACTTTTTCAGGATGGAGAGGTTGTTCATGATATTGGTGTAGATTTTCAGCCCCCCAGAATCTGCAATTTTGCTTATTTACGTACCCATTGAGGTGAAAATGAGCCTCATCAGAAAAGAGCACTTTGGCCGAAAATCCGTCTTCCCTTTCCAGCATCCAATTAACAAAAACACCCCGCTGTTGATGGTCTGCCGCCTTCAATTCCTGTATTAGTTGGATTTTGTATGGATGGAGGTGTAAATCAATGTGTAAAATCCGGCGTAAAGTGGTCTCACTAATTCCCAATTGTTGCGAACGGTGCCTAGTCGAGGTGGTTGGATCTTCTCGCACACTTTCACTCACTGCGGCTATGTTTTCACGAGTACGAGCTGGACGAGCATGTTGGTATGGTCTACGACCTTCAGCTGAACCAGTTTCCCCAAAACGATTAACCATCTAACTAATGCCAGGCTCTGTAGGGCGTCCATGTCGGACAAAACTAGTGCGATGTTTGCGAAAAGTATTTTTTATATTTCGACCGTTTTCGTAATAAGTTTGGATAACCAAAATGCGTTGTGTTGTAAACGAATCCATGACTATAAATGGCATACCTTTGAGAGTTCATTTATGCATACCACATGACTTTTGACTCACATGGTAACACATAAACTTATAGGTAAGAAAAAGTAATAGATGGCGCACCCCGTATTTGTTACATTTTCCGACCACTCGCTATCGCCACATGTAACAATAACTCAGGATATGTTGATTTTATCACTATCGGTGGAAATCAAAGATACTTCTAAAGTAAATTGAAAAATAAGTTGCATCAAAATTGAACTAAATAATTCTAATAAAAACGAAAACAAACTATTAAAGATGCACTCACCAACTTCTCTAGCACATTCCACTTAGAGCTGAGATCTTCGTTCATGATTGACTGAACTTGCTTCATATTTCTCATGGCCACTCTGATGCTTTTCGACGTATCAGCATTGCTGTCGTCAGAGCTGCTGTCTGACGAAGAAGAACTACTGCTTGAATCGGAAGAACGCTTCTTCTTTCTCTTGGAACGTTTCTTCTTTTTCTTATCCTTGGAGCTTGATCCGTCATGCGAGAATTTCTTCTTCCTTTTCTTCTTCGAGTCATCAGAATCGGACGAGTTGCCTCCTTTGCGAGACATTGCCATTTCCCTGTCTTTCAGCCACTCCATCTCCCAGTGAGGGTTTTGGGCTACGAAATTCTACAGGAAATGTTTCCAGTTAATATTTTTCTTCGAGTAATATTCAAATAGTTGCGCTTGGTACTCAACAAGTCCTGTGTTGTATGTACACCAAGCATATTTGGGTCTAACATCAAGTGAAAACGTGCGATATGCACAAGATGCTTCATAAATAGTAAATAAAAACCGTTTTTTTTTTGAGTATTATCTTCGGTTTGTAGATGTTCGGGATCAAATATGTCTTTCCAAAACACGCTTACATGATATACGAGCTCCTTCCCACTTCAGTTGGCCCAACTATTGAAATCATAGTTTCTTCTTATCAAACACAAATAATAAAAATGTACCAGGGTGTTATAGGTTTGAAATATTAACAATTAATATTTTGATAATATATAGTAGAAAACACCAACTTTATCACTCCCTAATCAAATTTGCAGCATAAAAATAACACATGTTGCAATTACAGCATATCAACCTATTTTCATTTCAATGCAAAATAAGTCTATAACGCATAGGTGGCTGTGAAAAATAAAAGCCATGACAATTGTTTTTATTAATCACAGCTGTCAGAATACGTTTAAAATAGTTTTGGGTAGTTAAGGTTTTCAAAATGGGTAGAGGAAAGGTTATTAGTGAGAACATTCGGTTACTGATAGTTAAATTTTTTAATTCTGGGAAATCAAACTCAGAAATTGCAACTTTGTTAGACCTATCGCGGTACAGTGTGAGAAATATTGTTAGAAGATATAACGTAACTGGTTCAGTTAATATCAAGCCACAATATGTGAAAAAAACTAATATCACAAATGCCGACCGAAGAGCATTAAGAATAATCGTGAAAAACAGGCGTGCCAATTATTTACAATTAAGTGCTCTGTGGAGTGACGCTGTTGGAAGGAGAATTTCGAGGTCCACAACTCAGAGAGGCCTACAAACTGGGATTTAGCACTTGCAAGGTAAGTTTTCTTATAAAAAAAGTGAAGTAAAATCCCTAAAGTTGCACAACTTGTTTATAGGCCAAAGAAAAGCCACTATTAACTCCACTGCAAAATGGTGTGCAATACAATGGAGTGGTGAGGCCCGATTCGAAATTTGTGTTTGTGACAGTTGCAGTAGAGTTATTCGCAAAAAAAAGCATTCCATGTTGAGAAAAGTGAAATTTCCAGCATCCATTATGGTCTTGGGAAGTATGTCATCAACAGGAGTAGGAAAACTTCATTTTATTGATGGAAATGTGGATACAAACAAATTGTCGGCAATTTTAGAAGAATCGCTTGGAAGAATGTTTGACATCCGGCCAAAATTTTGTGTTTCAGCAAGATGGTGCAGCGTGCCATACCTCAAAAAAGGCTATAAAATGGATGGAAGAAAATAATGTACCACTTTTGAACTGGGTTTCTAGCAGTCCAGATCTGTCACCTATTGAAACTTTGTGGCACGAGATGAAAAAGGATCTACGACAACATCCTGCTCGTACAATCACCGAACTGAGACAAAAGCTTCGATAAATATGGGATTTGTTTTACACAAATTTTTTTACAAAACTTGGTTAACACTATGCCCCAAAGAATTTCAGCTGTAATAAAAAATAAAGGTGATGTTACCCAATGGTAATCTTTCAATTGTTGCTTTGTTAACTTCGCGCATTTATTCGCACATTATTTGTTCAGATGTTCTATTAGTTATAGGTCTAAGTTATTTCAAATATGTATTTTTTACGACTAGAGTGTATCTAAAATGTTTTTGAGAAAATAAATTGTTTTAGAAGTAAATAGTTTCGTCATGTTTAGCTTATAAAGGCATATTTTGGTACAAATCTTGAAGTGGGCCAACTGAAGTGGGAAGGGGTTCGTAGTTCTCTATATTGGGAAACGTAATTTTGTAAAATTGCAGTACTTAGGCACTTCCAAATACGGGTTTTTATCCAAAACGACCATTAATAAAAGGCAGATGATCGAAGGCTGCGTAACTATTCTCACCATGAATAGATGGTTTAGCTTATTCTACAATCACAACAGTCAAGAAAATATTCAAAGAATATCATAACCATTTGTGCAGTTGCACATACATATAATATATTTTTAAGTTCCATCATTGTTACTTAAAATAGCTTATAATTATTACAAAATTAAAATATCCAAATCACGTATGTCATTGTAGACTCTCTATAAAAGAGTATTGTAGGAGGGTTAACTCCAGAAATCCAATCTTGTTCTCAAAATTCCGCCAACCTAAAATGGTATGAACATTTCACTTTATTGATAATACATTAAATACTTTTTTGTATTTTATATCTAATTCGTCTGAAAATGATTTAAATTCGATTGATTGTATTTCACCTACCTCGTAGTTTTGAAAGTGACCAACAGACTTCAAATGATGCGAGGCGCAATGAAGATCGCCGATCCAAATATCGCATAGTTTGCAATACCATGACGGCGCGGAGATGAAAAATTGCAGTCCTAAAATAGAAATGTTGACAAATAAACGTATTCCGAGCTTTGGTAAACATAAAAAACGAAATTATCACAGAAAGTAAGAACACTAAAATCACAGGAGATGTTAAGTGAATTAAACATTTTTTATTTCATAGAGCTGATGGGTAAACGAACGATTTTTTATAATTTGTCTTTTTTAAAGCAGTGGGCAATAACGCCCCTTGTGAGCACAGGGGTATCTAACAAAAAAGGCGTGGAGGAAGAGCCTGAAGGAAATTCGTAGGCGATGCAATGGATACAACCTCCCTGCTATCTTTTTTTCTTTATAATTCATCAGTAATCCTGTCAGTAATATATGTGTAATATCAGAGAATATCTGCAACTGTTGGTGCCCTATTTTGGAAAATACTAATTGATTCAAGATGAATTATATAAGAGCCGTAATGTCAGTCGTTCCTAAAATTGTAGGATGCCTTTATGGCCTGCTAGGACAAAATATCTTCGTGCGGATCGCTTTAGAACAGAGGTTCTCAAACGTATTTGGTCTACTGGCCACTTTGAGGATCAATTATTTTCGAGCGCCCCCAGAAATTGTTCAATATGTCGGTCTCGAGGAAGGGGGTATCTACGATTTGATACACAATAAAACCGAGTGACACCCTTTTTCTACGCTGCTGTTAAAGCATCACATTATTATTATGTGAAACCTTTAGACGGAGGAGGTTCAATATCGTTTAAAGGTTAGGAAGTTTAAAATGGCATATTTGTCATCAGAAAATATTTCGAGTTTTTCTTTCATTTTATTAACACCTAGATAAAAATGTATTATTTCTGCTGAAGCGCGCAAAGTCAGACCCTTGTGGATTGTCACAATATGGGCTACTGAGCTTCTGTGCGCATCTGACAACGATTTTGAGTGGCTAAGTCATCGAAATTGGAGGAGCTGACGATTTTATTGAACATCACAAGGATGTGTTGGACTGAATTAGAATAAATATTCTTTAATTAATTTTAATACACCGAGTGAAATGTAAACACCTACGTATGTTTATCCGATTTTGCATATAGAGTAATGGACAAAAGTATATAGACAAATATGAATATTTACCTAAATACCTTTAGAAAATGCATTCATACTTCATTCTTCAATAAACAAATGCGTTATTAGTAGAAAAACTAAATTCCTTGTTTTTACATTATCTGCAATGAACACAATACAGGTCTGAAGATAAGCACTTTTTAATGAGGGACAAAAATATGTCGACAAATTCTTTTCAACATTAGTTTAGTACAGTTTCGTGTCAGAAGAGGATTAGTTTGTGTTCATCAAGTATTGTGGAATAAGTTGAGTGATTTTAAGACCATGCCGCGTGGTCCTGAAATTTCTTTCGGTGTGAAAAGAGATCATTGAGTTATACAAAGATGGTCAAGGTCAAGTCGACATTGCAAAAAATTTGAAGCTGAAGCGTAAAGCAGTTTGGGCAATATTGAACAAATATGAACAAAAAGGTATCTTGGAAGCATCTAAGAGAAGTGGTCGGCCTAGAAAACTAAATGCTAGATCAGTTAGATTAATAAAAGTAATTTCGTCCAAAGATCCGTTTAAAACCCCAAGACAAATAAAAGCAGAAATCGAGACAAAAGGAATTGCCAGTGTTTCTACGAAAACTATAAGTAGAAGATTAAATGATTTGAAGTTATTTGCACGTCGCCCGAGTAAGACGCCGCTAATCTCGAGGAAAAACCGTAAGGACCTTGATTTGAGCATATGTGACTGGAAGAGGGTATGTTTCAGTGACAAATCTAAGTTCAATATGTATGTTTGGATCAGGTGGTGTTCATTACATTAGACGTCCTAGTGGACAAAGATTGAACCCCAAGTACACTTTGCCCACTGTCAAACATGGAGGCGGGTCTGTTATGGTTTGGGGGTGCTTTTCGGGGTTTGGGATGGGACCTTTACATAGAATAGATGGTATTATGGATAAGTTTCTATACACAGACATACTAAAGCATGTCATGTAACCCTATATGGAAGACAATATGCCCTTAAGATCAATCTTCCAGCAAGATAATGACCCAAAGCACACTTCAAATCTCGCAAAGATGGATGAAAAAATACCAGTTCTCAAATGGCCTTCACAGTCTCCCGATATAAACCCCATTGAAAATCTATGAGAATACTTAGCTAAGCAAATACAAGATAAAAATTATTCAATCAAGGATGAACTTTTTGCCGCTTTAGAGCAAAAGTGGAAACAGATTGATGAATCTTATATCAAGAAACTTCTACAATCTATGCCGAGACGATGCCAGGCGGTGATTCATAATAATGGTTATGCTACTAAATATTAACACAAACATGGTTGGTTTTCTATAATTCAATGAACTTTGCTTCTTTTTTCTATAATTTTGTTGCTTTGTCTATATATTTTTGTCCTTCATAGTTCCAGTTTTTTTAATCAATTTTTTTTTTGAAGGGAGTCTAACGAATTTATTTATATTTCACCAAACAATACACGCAGCCACCATAAAAACTTGACAGAAAATCCTGACCATTTTATCACTTGTTGTTCATGGCAAGATAAATCGATATGGAAAAAATTCTTGAATTCAAATAAACATGCGTAGGTGTTTCCCTTTTTGGATATCAGTACAGTTCCCAATTTGGTTCATAATTTGCTACCAAATTTTGTGAAAAAAATTCGTTACAAAATTTAGTTGGTAAAAAATCGTCAAAATCGTCTTACGTATTTAAGGCCCGTATCGTCAGTCGTCCCTACAATTGTAGGGCGCGTTTATGGCGTCCTTGATTGTCATACTCTTTTCTCTCCTTCAAAAATTTCTAGATTAAACTTGTTCCGTGTCAGCGTCAGCGCTCTCCTATTGTGAAGATATGTTTTCTTTTTAAATTGTAGGCAATTTCAGGCTGATAAAACATGATATAACTCAAAAGCAAGCACAATTTGATGCAAAGAGATGTTTGTGACATATCCTCAAAATAGAGTTCTGACACGGAGAAGTAGAAAATTATGAGAATCAAGGAGGCCATAAAGGCGCCCTACAATTGTAGGGACGACTGACGATACGGGCCTAAATGCCCTCCAAACACTTTCATTTGATATCAATGTATGTATTTTTTTTTTTTGGTATTGACTGCAAAAAGGAAACATTCACTTTTCGTGTAGCCTAGTTAGTGTTAATTCTTTATTTGCATTTGATGATAGTATATAATGTGATTTGCAGATTAAGTTCGAGAAGCCTTGGGCTAAACTTCACCTGCATTTTGGATCAGTTTGTATTTTTATTTCATCAATGACGATTATCTATGTACGCATATCATAGGGAAATGATAAATCGCCATTTTGTAGTATCCGCCATATTTGATTCAAAATGGCTGAATTCAGTTCATTTTGTAATGGCACGTGAACCAAACGTGTATATAAAATTTCAGCTCAATTTTTTAAGGTTAACAAACGAGTTAATCAATAGTTTGAAATCAACATAATCCCTCTAACCTTTGATAGGCACCCGTTTCTTGGGCGCGTCCTCATCCGCCGGCAACAGGTCTTCGGCAGGCAGCTTGTGCCACGGTGTCAAATCCACATCGTTGTCCTTAACCATCTGCCGGTGATCTTTCTCCTGCAAATGCAGGAGAAAGTCCTTGGCTGTTTCCGGAAATTCATCGCACAGCCGGCACCAATGCAGACCGGTGTCGTAGTGAACGTAACAAATTCGGTCCGGGGACCGAGAGCGACCGCGCGATTTCGAGCGACCACGCGACTTTGCGCGTTGCTGGGACACCTCCGGAGTCGCGCTTCTGCAAAAAAGGATCGTTTAGAGGGTTGGATTCGGAAATGGTTCATTATGAATGGTGTACTTACTAGCCTGTGCCAAATACTATGAATCGGTTTAGCCAGATTTTGCAAAATTCCACATTATCAACTTTTACAGATGATTTCTTTGTTTTAATGGTATTGCGGTCGATTTTTTTTGAATCAGTATTCTCACACATTCTTCACACTAAACCATCTACAGAAATTTAATTATTATCTAACAGTTACCCATTTAGACGACAATTAAGTAAAAATATCAGGACAAAAGAAAATAAGCACTGGTAAAAAAATAGGTTTAACTTGCGTTTAGGCCATCTCAAGTCTCTAACGGAACATATATGAATATTTCGCAATGATAGCTAATAACATTTAGGAATTTATACATTGTGTGGATAGGAGATGTAGCTAAAATATTGTATCTGGCTCGTGCATGTTTAAACATGAAGCACAGTAATGGACAAAAGTATATAGACAAATTAATATTGTGCTGTATTTCTTTTTTAACTTGTTTTATCGATACACCAACCTGTATACATAATTCGTTATAGCATAATACTCACTTATATATAAATTAAAAAGTTAATTTTGAATAACTGGAACTCTGAAGGACAAAAATATATATACAAAGCAAAACAATTATAGAAAAAAGAAGCAAAGTTCATTGAATTATAGAAAACCAACCATGTTTGTGTTAATATTTTGTAGCATACCCATTATTATCAATCACCGCCTGGCATCGTCTCGGCATAGATTGTAGAAGTTTCTTGATAAAAGATTCATCAATCTGTCTCCACTTTTGCTCTAAAGCGGCAAAAAGTTCATCCTCGTTTGAATAATTTTTATCTTGTATTTGCTTATCTAAGTATTCCCATAGATTTTCAATGGGGTTTATATCGGGAGACTGTGAAGGGCATTCGAGAACTGGTATTTTTTCATCTAGAAAGAATTTCTTTGCGAGATTTAAGTGTGCTTCGGGACATTATCTTGCTGGAAGATTGGTCTTAAGTGCATATTGTCTTCCATATAGGGTAACATGACATGCTTTTATATGTCTGTGTATACAAACTTATCCATAATGCCATCTATTCTATGTAAAGGTCCCATCCCAAACCCCGAAAAGCACCCCCAAACCATAACAGACCCGCCTCCATGTTTGACAGTGGACAGAGTGTGCTTGGGGTACAATCTTTGTCCACTAGGACGTCTAACGTAATGAACACCATCTGATACAAACATAGAGAACTTCTATTCGTCAATGAAACATACTCTCTTCCAGTCACAGATGCTCGAATCAAGATACAACCCTGCAAATTGTAATCGGTCCTTACGGTTTTTCCTCATGATTAGCGGATCTACCATTTAGTTTTCTAGGCCGACCACTTGTCTTAGAGGCTTCTAAGATATCTTTTTGTTTATATTTGTTCAAATTTTCCCAAACTGCTTTACGCTTCAGCTTCAAATCTTTGGCAATGTCGACTTGACGTTGACCTTCTTTGTATAACTCAATGATCTTAGTTTTCACATGGAAAGAAATTTCTGGACCACATGGCATGGTCTTAAAATCACTCAACTTATTCCACAATACTTGATGAACACAAACTAATCCTCTTCTGACACGAAACTGTACTAAACTACTATTGAAAAGAATTTGTCTACATATTTTTGTCCCTCATAAAAAAGTGCTTATATTCAGACTTGTATTGTGTTCATTGCAGATAATGTAAAAACAAGGAGTTTAGTTTTTCTACTAATAACGCATTTGTTTATGGAGCAATAAAGTACGAATTCGCTTTCTAAAGGTATTTAGGTAAATATTCATTTTTGTCTATATACTTTTGTCCATTACTGTAGTTACGCGCCACAAAAGCAGGTGCATTAAAATTTATTTGGAACAAAATTTCAAGATAATCAACATCGTGATTTTATAATTAAAAAATAGAATCGTCATCACGCAAGCATGAATTGTACAGTCTACTTTTACAGACCATTAAACTAAAGATAAAAGTATAAAATGAACCAAAACGTTAAAGAAAATATGAGAATCATTCAAAACCAATTGACCAAAATACTATAAGAACAAAGAAATCTACAAGGAACGGTCATCAATCACATTTTTTTTTAAAAGAAGGCTATTGCCAAAACCGCTAACAAAAACTTGATGCAAACATTTCTACAGATTTTTTTCACGGTTTTTGGAGAGTCACAGCAGAACTACAGAAATTATACTTTCACATATCCATCTCTCTCACACATAAATATGCAATCGGTCTATGTAGTCTAATGATTTTTTTAGCAAATTTCCCCGAAATAATGGGTTTTACTGGATTGGTTTAAGTCATGGTCGCATAAAATGGGTACACCAATTTTTGCGGGAAAACTTTACAATTGACAACAAAAAATGAGAACGTGTTTTTTGGGATTCAATCGGTGTTGACAGGAACGAAACAATTTTTCATATAAGATTTTTAGGTATTTATGAGATCTACAAAATGAGTCCGCACGTGAAAAGATCTGCCTAATAGCAAAAATGTTATGGCCGAAAAACGAGGCGAAATGCAGGTTTTGGCACTTGTTGGTAATGTGACGACAATTTCACGCAACTACTTCAAATTCTTCAATTCCGTAGAATTCATAATTCTAAATAACAACAACAAAATTGGAGTATATTGGTCAAGTAGTTTTTGAGAATTTCTAATTGTTATCCCAAAACACCTGTTTTCCAGCCATCACTGCTATTTTATTGAGCAAAAAACCTGGTTCCTTCAAAGAGCATTTAATAGCAAAATACACGTGTTTAGCTTGTCGATATGAACCACAAACTATTCCGAAAGATAAATATTATTTTATACGAAAAACAAAGGTTGCGTTTTTTCTTCTAAACAAATGCAAACATTTCGAATTTGTGAGTAATTAAACAAATGCGCTACGATATTAGAAAAACATATGTTACTATACACATTTTAAAACAAAGCGGATGTCTATCTTCTTTTGTTGCGAATTACTCACAAATATGAAGTGTTTGAATTTGTGTAGAAGAAAAAACGTAACCCATCCTTTTTTGCATAAAAATAACATTTATCTTCCGGAATGGTTTGCGATTCATATCGGCAAGGTAAACTAGTGTATTTTGCTATAAAATGCACTTTGAACTAACCCTGTATATTGCTCAATAAACCGGTAGTGATGACAGGAAAACAGGTGTTTTGGGATAAACAATTAGAAATTCTCAAAAACTACTTGACCAATCTACTCCAATTTTGTTGTGGTTATTAAGAAGTACGAATCCTACGAATTTAAAGAATGTCAAGTATCGGCGAGAAACCATCGTCGCATTACCAACAAGGACCAAAACCTGCAATTTGCCTCGGTTTTCGGCCATAGCGTTCTTGCTATTAGTAGGATCTTTTTACATGTGGTGATGTGGTCTCATTTTGTAGATCGCATAAATACCTAAAAATCTTATATGAAGAGTTTTTTCGTTCCAGCCAAATTTCCGATCGACTCCCAAACAACACGTTTTCTCATTCTTTGTTGTGCAATAAAAAGTTTTTCCACAAAAACTGGTGTACCCATGTTTTAAATACCCCCTTGACCAACTTGCAGCAATAAGACCAGACTTTACAATTATTGCGCAAACCAGGACGTATTTTCGTCTAATGTAATCAGTCTATTATACAAAAAGTCGACAATACATCCAATTATATTTATATTTGGAGCTGCTATCACCTGCACGCCAGTATGAGGAAATAATAAAACAAGCAACAGTGTTCCCAAACTTGATTATGGCTGATCTCGTACTGCTAATCACATAATACATTTTTTGTAGTTTTATGAAAATCAGCAGTGTCACGGCATATAAAATACCAAATCATACGCTGTTACGTTTTTGGAAAATCAATTCCGAAAATTCATATTTCAAAAAACAACCAACTTCAACAGATACAGTTCGTGGAATTAAAATTGGAAGATCTTTGACATTCAGTCAGGCACTCTCTCCTTTAACGATCATAATAGAATTCAACTATGTGCTGAAAAAACAAGCATGTATTTCATTCTCAATCCTTACTTCTGAGAATGGGAATAACTAGAACGGTTTTTTTCGGGAGTGGCTGTCCACGCATTCTCATGAGCATTAGCGACTTCGTTCAAGGATGCTTCTAAATCTGCCACGGATTTTCCGTCCTTGATAATGCTAGAGAGCATCTCAATGACGTTTTGAATAGCCTTCATTTTTCCTTGGATCTCCGACTGGAATAGAAAAAATATGTTAAGGAGACTAGTAAATAAGTAGAATTCCTAAATATACAGTATTTATTTAGCCTGCACGACAAAATTGTAATATAAAACAATACAAAAAGTAATGTTAAAGATGAGTGAAAAATCAGCTTATTTGTCAAATACATTGTGTTCTTGAAGTTGGGAGTTTCCATTCCTCAGCATATACAATCATGGACAAAAGTATGGAAAGATTCGTTTTCTGGTTATACTCTTAATATATCAAGGGTACCGGGAAAAAACGGCATTAGTTCATTATTTGGCTAAATTGAGCTGTCAGTTTATTTTGGTGGCGTTTTCCTGACGCTATCTTGTAATCGGCTTCTTAAATTGTAAAACGGGCTTAGGTTCACAAAACAACAGCTATAAGATTCCCTGTGCCGGGGAAGAATGGCATGAGTTCCTGCGCGTGTATGGAAAAACGGCATCAGTCCATATGGAAAGGCGGCGTTGCATCGGCCGTACCGCTTGGGCGCTTCGTTATTGCATCAGCCAACTATTAGAGTTGTATACGCTGATATTGAATATTGACTATATTCGCTAATTTAGTTTATAATACAGGTTTTGTGTATGATGGATGGTGACTATTCAGTTTCAAGTGATAATGAACCAGGCCCATCAAACAGAGAAACGAAAAAATGCAAAAAAAACACGGTGACAAAGAGACGTAATGAAAACGTTGCGCGCCACTACCCACGAACTTGGATCTGATTGTTTTTGTGAGCGTTTTCGAAGTTTTACTACAGTTCCTGAACCTGAACGCTGTAGACTTCTTCGTGAATTTAATGAACTAGGAAACACTAATTAACAAAACGCTTATCTTAGTGGTCTTATCACTGTTCTTCCTGTCATGCGTAGACGCCCTCGAAAAAATTAAGCAGAGTCAAGGCTTAATAATGCTTCATTTAGTTATCGTATCCGATTGGTTGAAAATGGAATTATACGTGATGTTCCAGTTTGTCTTAAGGCTTTTTTGTCTTTACACGGAATTACAGTTCGTCGAGTTCGGTACATAAGAGACTCATTAGTTGCAACTGGGAAATCGCCCATCGACATGCGTGGAAAACACAACACACGACTTCACAAAACACAAAACAGAAAGTGACCGAGTTTATTAAGAGCCTCAAATGCCGCAAATCTCATTATTCTTTGGCAGATTCGCAAAAAGTTTACCTACCTGAAAATCTAAATATCACAAAATTACACAATGTTGAAAACAAGATTTCCTATGAATCCATCTGAGAAATCTTTGAAAACAACTTCAATATATCGTTCGGTTATCCACGAAAAGATACTTGTAGTACGTGTGATTCCTTACAAGCTGATATATCTTCACTTACCGCTACCTTAAATTCCCACACGGAACAAACTAGGTACTCAGCAAGTAATAATTTGGACAAAAAGATACTTGAGAAGACACTACATCAAAAAGGAGTGAGCGATTTTACAGTCTAAAGAGAACTTACCGCAAACGTGCCTCGAAGTTCCCCGCTATCGAAAGTATCACGATGGTTTACAAAAAAAAACTTGTCCTGTCCAAATATCACGACAAATGATGTTTACTATAAGCGGCAACTAAATTTCATCAGTTTTAACATCCACATTCTGTCAAACGCAAATTTTTTTATACCTACGATGAATCTATTGCTAAGAAAGGAGCTCACAATATCTGTTCTATGCTGTATCACTTGTTTTCCTGCCTATGGACGTAAAAGAACTTGCCATTTTCTGTGACTCCTGTGCAGGGCAAAATAAAAACTTTACAGTTATTAGATTTTTGCATTACTTGGTTATCAAGAAAACTCGTTTTACTATTGTGAAAGTAATATTCCGGATCAGGGGGCATTCATATCTCGAGTGTGATAGCGATATGAGTATCGTGAACCAAAGAGGTACCGGATGACTGGAGAGATGAACTGAAACATTGCCGTGTGAACCCTACACCATTTGAAGTCATTGATTATGGCAAAAATTTTGATTTTCAAGATTGGAGTACGTTTTTATCGCCGTTTTATCCAACGAAGTGCCCCTTTCCAACCCGACCAGTCAAGTTGCTCAAGTTCTGTAAACAGAATCCTCGCGTAGTTTTTCACAAATCGACATACATGGGTATACGTAGTCATGCCATAAGTTCTGTCCCTCGTTTTCAAACAAGTGTAGACCTGTTAATACTTGTCCGATTGTTTACATTGTGGTGTCAGTTGATTAAGCGCTTTTCGGGTAATTACATATACCTCAGTTTGTATTGATCTCTCGAAGCATAACGATGGAGTGGGGCAAGGCAGAGAACCGTATTGCAGTGATAGCTTTACATAAGTGTAATCACAGTGCTAGTCAGATTTTTGAACTCTTACGCGGCCTTCAAATATCGCGTAAATTTGTGTCTAGGACCATTCAGCGGTACAATGAGACGTCCTCTGTTGATGACAGGCCAAGAAGCGGAAGACCTCGTCAAGTAAGGACTCCAGCAGCCATCAAAGCCGTAAAAGCCAGGATTCAAAGGAATCCACTCCGGAAGCAGAAGATCCTATCCAGGGAAATGAAGATTCCTGTCCGGACGATGTCGCGCATCATTAAACAAGACCTAGGGCTAGGGGCTTACCGGAGACGTACGGGCCAGCGACTTACGGCCACCTTGCGACACATCAGGGCGACAAGATCCAAGAAGCTCTTGGAGAGGTACGCAGCTGGGGGATTCCGAAAGATTTTGTTCACGGATGAGAAAATCTTCACCATAGAAGAAAAATTCAACCGACAAAATGACAAAGTGTATGCAAGGAGTTCACAGGAAGCTTCGGAGATCATTCCGAGAGTTGAGAGAGGCCACCACCCTGCGTCAGTCATGGTTTGGTGGGGGGTGTCCTACGAAGGGGTCACTCAGCTCCATTTCTGTAAACAGGGCGTGAAAACAAAAGCGGCAAACTATCAGAGCGACATACTGGATCCTATCGTCAAGCCTTTAAGTGGTACATTGTTTGCCAACCAACACTGGGTCTACCAGCAGGATTCCGCCCCCGCTCACAAGGCTAAGAGTACGCAGCGCTGGCTGGAAAGCAATGTGCCAGAGTTCATTGCTGCGGAAGATTGGCCCTCAGGGAGTCCGGACCTCAATCCTTTAGACTACAAGTTGTGGGACCTGCTAGAGCAGTTGGCCTGCTCCAAAGCCCACCGTAATATCGAGTCCCTGAAAGCGGATTTGATCCGATCAGCGGCAGCTATTCCTTTGGAAGCTGTGCGTGCAGTGATAGATGAGTGGCCCGCGAGATTGAAGCAGTGTGTGAAGGCCAAGGGGGGACATTTTGAATAAAACTGTTTGATTATGAATTCTAAAAATGTTGTCGAATAAATAATATCTTTCATATAAATATATCTTATCTTGTTTCATTTTTATCATGAGATTATCATGGGACAGAACTTATGGCACGACACGTATATGCTAGTTCTAAATTTGATAAGGTAATTCGGAAGAATCTAAAAAAGACGCAAAAAGATCAACAAATACGAGAAGAGGAAACATTGAGAAAACTTTACCAGGGCCCAATCCTAATTAAAAGTAAGAAATGGAAGGATCTGCAGGTTCTGACCAAATTTCTAGAGAGATCAGATTGCAGGGCATTTTATCAACAGTTAATATCTCTTAAGAATATCTCAGAGTTTAACATCATCTTTTACTTGTTATGTTACTAGTTTTGAGTAAGCGTTCATTTTGTAAAATCTATTTTACCCATAAACACACTGTTTAGCAAAGATATTCTTTACGACTTATTTTTTCATCAATTTTACTTTCCAACAAGTAAGTAAACCTTAATTACCGATTTTCTCAAAATCAGTCCGGATGGACTATGGTCGTAATACCCCATTCATATGTTAATCAATAATTAATTACATACTAAAAAATAAATATCCACTACTAAGTAACATTTTAGAAATAAATGATAATTCAAAATAAAGTCTCATATTTGATAAATAAAGAAAACCTTTGGACAAAAGTATGGATAGGATATTTTTATTAAAAAAAAGTTAAACATACAAATTAAACAAGCAATGTTCAGTATTTTGTTGAAAATCCATTCGCCTTAATGACTTCCCTGCATCTTCGTGGCATGGAATCAACAAGACTTCGACACCCACCAACTGGGATCTTCCGCTAATTATGTTGTAAAACCTTCCATACATCATTCTCACTATGAATAATTCTTTGCCGAATTTCCCGCTCTAAGGTGCTCAATTCGATTGAGGTCGGGGGATTGCGAAGGCCATTCCGGTAAATCAACGCTTTTCTCTAAAAAACAATTTTTTACTAAATGGAATGAATGTTTCGGGTCGTTATCTTGTTGATATCTCCACAACAACGGCATTTCTTCTTCGGCATAAGGTAACATAGTATTCTGTAATATGTCGCGGTACATAAAGAGATTCATTTTCCCAGTTATTTTCATTATCGGGCCCGTTCCAGACTAGTGAAAACACCCCCCCCCCCCACCATGCTTTATTGTAGGCGTTAGATACTTGATATCAATTTTTTTCTTGACAGGTCTTCATACAAACAATCTTCCATCAGCACCAAATATTTTAAATTTGCTTTCGTCACTCCAGTCTTTAGGTGTCCAAATTAAATGTCTCTGAGCAAACTGAAGTCTGGCCTTTCCTAGTTAGTTTCCTAGTAACCGAAACTTTTTTAGAATTTTTGAATGATACCCTCGCTTAAGTCTAAGTTTCTTGCTATAGTACATTGCTCTTTTCAACTCGACAACTTTAAGTCGCAACTCTTCCGGCAAATACTTATTCTTGCCCATTCTTAATAGGGTGCTGGTTATAACAGTAATACAACAAAACTAATCCAATGATGTTAACAACTTGGAATAGTATTTATAACTTATTAAGGCACGGTGATACTTGAAATTTTTATCAAATGAATGATGAGTATACTTTATCTGAAGTCACTTGAAACACTTTGAAATACCGGGTGCGTTTTATATATCTATATTTAACACGCTCTGTTGCTGCAAAAATCGCCAAATTTCGCAGCAAATATCCCCCGTATAAGATCAAAGGCAGTTTCACGATCCATGTGGAGTAAAGCACGCCTATGCGTGTATTTCAGAGCTCCGAACAAGTGCAGGTGGCTACTGAAAATTGAAACAGTTTAGCCAGTGCCGTGTAGCGGTGAATAAACGTGTTTTCTTTAGTCTGTCCGTGTTTTTTCATAGATTTTATTAGTTTGTGTGTTTTTGACTTTTGAATACTTAGTTTACTTGTTGATTTAATTGTTGTGTTGATTGTTCTTGTGTGTCCTAAATATGGCTCTTTGGAGACCTTGGGAAAATGCTCCAAGCCACGAGGAGATGGTTGATGAACCTGTGCAGGCAGAATTCTTTCATAAAGATTTAGAGGAACAGACCCAAAAAGTAATCCTAAATATGTATGATTGTCTGAAAAACGAAAATCCAGATTCCTCGCAAAATCAAATTTTAAACAGAATTTGTATCCTGACAAAAATCAGTCGGTCTACCATTTATCGGGTTATAAAAAGGGGAGATGTAGTCAACCATTCCTTCCACAGAAAGCGCATAGGGCAAAAATTAAAAAGAATAGACGTGGGTTTTCAGGAAGATATTCGTCGTATAATATACGGATTTTATAAAGAAAATTTGGTGCCCACGTTGGAAATGATACGGGATAAATTAAAAGATTATCCTGAAGATTTTTATAATTACAAATGCTTAGACTCACTGCACTGTATTGTAAAACTGTGTGGTTTTCAATACAAAAAATTAGATAAAAGAATGGTGATTATGGAGTCGTCTCGAATGGTTGAATTGCGCCAAGAATTTTTGCACAAAGTTAAAATCTATAGAGAGCAGAAAAGAAATCTGATTTACCTGGATGAAACGTGGTATGATACCCATGATGTTGTGCAGTACGGCTGGGTTGACGACAGCAACAAGTGCATTTTAAATGCACCATGCAACCGTGGAAAACGAATCATTATTCTCCATGCTGGCAGTGAAAATGGATTTATACCTAATGCCTTGCTGTTATCTGCCAAAAATATCAAAGAATCATGTGTCGACTATCATGAGGACATGACCTCCGACTTATTTGAAAAGTGGATAGAGCAGCAGTTAATACCAAACATTTCCCCAAATTCAGTGATTATTATGGACAATGCGCCATACCATTCCCGACACAAAAACAAAATTCCGAATACAGGCACAAAAAAACAAGACATTATTGATTTTATGAAGGATAAGGGAATGGAAATACCACAAAAATCAACCAAAGCCATATTATTGGATCTTATTAAAAGACAAAAACTTGAAAAAGAGTATGTTGTTGACAATCTGCTTCAGCAAAATGGCCATGAAGTATTACGTCTACCTCCCTATTACTGCATTTTTAACCCGATTGAGTTGGTCTGGGCTGCTTTAAAAAAAAAGTAAGAAAACATAATCAGACCCCTCAATTAAGTGAATCGCTATTGGCCACAATAAGAGATGCAGTATCTCATATTGCTGCCACAGACCTATGGAAGCAGTGTTCTAGGCATATTATTGAAAAAGAAAATGAATATTGTGTTTTGCCTCCTGTAAATCCCGTTGTAATTCCTCTACAAGATGACTCTAGCGACAGCTCCGAAGGCGAGGATGATATATAAATACCTATAATGTAAGTCTTTATATACCTTTTTATATACCTACCTGCTATGTAAATATTTGCCTATGTCAAACGGGAATTCTGTAATTTTTCCATTTCTTAACTTTCAGTCAACATAAATTAAACTCCCAATATAAGTATTTTTTATCCCAAATCAAAAAAATAAAAAGATAGTAAAATCCATTTATTGTGATATAAAAACATTATTATTATCGTTCTAAATAAATGACCGCACGCCTATGATACGTCATGAAATTACAAAGGACGCGCCGACCAAAGGTTTTTATGCTATTTCAAGTGACTTCAGATAAAGTATACTTTTATCATTTTTTCGCAGCTGAAAACGAAAGTCCCAACTTTCAGAACACAGTTTTATCAGCTGCTAGATACAGAATTGTTGCTGCATTCGTTTTGCATGTGACGTGAGACAGTTCAAACAGAGATGAGACTGTCAAATCAGTGAATGTCTGGCTCATTTCAGAGTTCAAAAAAAAACCTGAAAAATGACACTTTGTTTCAATTTATGATGGAGCTACACTCAAGACTAAACATTCTTGCAATTTGCCTAAAAGCTGCAAGTGAGACCAAATCTCACTCAGCTGAGGTTGGACCTGGTAATACAGTTGAAATAAGGGGGGTGTACGTGGGGAAGAAATCTCACCTCAGTGAAACCTGCTGAAGTTTTGGTGAAAAGAAAGTGCATTAAACTCGGTAAACACAAGTGAGGTGAGTGTATGAAATATTTTTGACCGACATGCGATAGGTAGCGCGAACACAGAGCAATAGGTATGTGCCCTCCTTGAAAATAGGGAATTAACGAATCGTCAAATCGTAAAAGATCGAATTATTTCGTCGGTGCTTTCTTGCTATATACCACTGTCCACTTCTTTATTCAAATAGTCTCAATAGGTTAGCAAAGAAAAATTGACCTGTATGAAAATATCAGTGTGATATTTTCAACACCCAGATGATACTGAAAACTTACTAACCTGCAATTTGTCGTTTTCCTTGAGTATATTGGAAATATCTCTATCCGAAGACTTGCTGCTTCCCATCAGCTGCGTTTTCTGCAAGCGCAGCTGATCCAGTTCCCTGCGCAGCACGGATACCTTGCGTACATATTCTTCACGTTGCTTGGTCAGCTGCGCTTTTTGCTGTTCCATTTCCTTCACGACAGCTACAAGAAAAAACCGGAGTCAGTTTTACGTAAATCGACACGATGTTCAATAAACACATTTTAATTGCTGACCACCTGATGAAGATAGAACGTCTCTGGAGGTCCATTTTTATGTAGGACTAGCCTTGTGATCCTCCTACGAAAGAGAGAGATTAGATGCTGGTCAATGCAGATAACTAGGTACTTGCCATGAGGTAACTTGATCAAATAAACCAGTATCCATATACTTTTATAAACTAAGAACCCATATCACTTCTTGCTAGCTTAGATAAAGGTGTTGTGCTACATAAGCTGTGATCTTCAGCTTAATCTTGCTTGTATGTTTTGCTAAAATGGGCTGCTGTAGGTTGCAGAACTTGTTAAGAGTATGTCCTAAATTTTAACTGACATAAACTCACTAGCTGTGTTGTAGCGTTCATGTAGCAAATATGTTAGAACCCCCTTCAATTAAATGGCAGGTGGGAACTGTTGATGACGTGACGTGATACCAAGCATGTTGTTTTAGCAACATTGCTTTAGCTCCTAAGTCACATCTATACCAGTCGGAACAGCCTATGACCAAATCTAAGGGTTGGGATTGACACAGTATATTTTCACACTTCAGTGATGATGGTCACCTTTTTTACACTAGAAACGGAAATGGTGTCTCAAGAGCGCCGTATTTTAATTTGCCGCCATTTTTTTTGTTGTACAAATGGGATAGTGTTTACTCCAGACCACGCGATTAGACGTCATGGCGCAATATTCAAACGAGCAACGTTCAATTATTGTGGCCCCAATTGGATCGAATTGATGTTCCAAAAAGACGGTGCGACCTGCCACACAGCACGCGAAACAATAGTGTTACTGCAGTTTGGCTGTCAAAATTGGCCACCAAGATCGTGCGATCTAACGCCAATGGACTTCTTCCTCTAGGGCTATGTGAAAGAAAAGGTGTATGCTAACAAGCCGCAAACAGTTGAACGCCTTAAAGAAGAGATACGGAGCGTTATCGACGAAATAGAGCCACAGTTGTGCGAAAACGTTAGCCACAATTTTAAGAAAAGCCTAATCCTGTGCTAGAGGTTTCTTTGTGACCATTTACCGGATGTCCTATTTCATGTTTAATCGCAACTATTCCTCTTCATGTTGAAATATAAATACTCGCTTAATTCGAAAAGAAATTGTGTTTTTCTTGAAAATCAAATCCGGCGCTCTTATTGTATGTATTGTATTATAAAGTTCACAGTCCACCTTGAAAATGAAAGAAAATGAGGGAAAGGGTACAATGGGAGCCTAAATGCTGGATACGTCATTCTGCTCATATGATCGATTAGATAAAACATTATAACACCAGAATACCATAAAATAAGGTTCAGAGTTCCGCGTTGCAAGGCGAACTGTAGCGGCAGATTCATGTAAAGATCCCAGTAACTTTTCTATATAGGATTTCGTCAGTCTAAGTGCTCTAGTGCACGCACTCCATATGATCGCAGTGGGCTTTAAAGCATCGCGTGGAGGAAGGTTGAGACTACATTCGCCGCAAAACTGCAATGAAATTAGACAACTGGTAGTACTAAAATAAGTGACCCGCGAATTAAGTTAAGCAGTTTATGAACTTGGCCTAAAAGAACAAGATCAAAACTATTTCACTGCAGTTTGACCCCATCAATTTTCCACAATTCACTTTGTCACTTGCAAATGCAATGTGTCATAATGCTTTTGAAAATAATACAAAACAACGTGGGAATCAAGTTACCTCAAGGCAAACCTAAAAACATAAATAAAAACTCAACTATATTATGAATAACTTTATTCCATGCATCATTTTACAATTTTAAGTAGAGATATATAAACAATTATTTTACAAAATATGTTGATATACCTAAGTTAAAGTGGGTTCCACCAAGCACATTTTATTTATATTAAATAAAAAGTAACATAAATTATGCATAATATGTAACATATCCTGATTTACCTGCTGTAAGTCCATACCTGGACACAAGATCACTGCACTCAAAATATAATAATAATCTTTATAAATGTTGGGCATGCAAAAGCACTCATATACGTAAAAAAAGTTATTTCCTATTGTAATACCCACCATTAGTAAAAAACAGCATGGTTCATTGTTTTATCTGTACTTGACAACTGACTGAGTCAGTTACGTCCAACATAGTTGAAATACAAACATCAAACTATGCAATCACTAGTAAGAAACATAACTCGCAGGTTCAAATAATTATTATTGACATAACTGTATCTCAGAAGCTGTGTGAACTGTCTCTATGAGTGATAGAAATTTTTGAACATATAATGAATAAGTAAAAAGGACATCTTGCTGAACACCTTCTGAGATGATTAAAAAGTGATATATTTCTTTCACTTACCATCTGTTTTGACTGTAGTATAATTATCTGAAGATGTAGTTGGTGTTGTTGTAGTAGTCCAGTTTGTGGCTGTAAAACCGTCACCAGGCGGAACTGGTTGGGTAGCAACCTGAGAAAAACCATTTCTCTAAATTTCAAAGTTTCAATTCCAATGTGAAATAAAAATAGTTATCTATAATTCATTCAAAATTTTATCAATAATAGTAACACTGAAATTGACAAGAGATTGATTTACAGGCAACCAAGGCAGCAGTCCTAGGCAGGATTGCGAGATGGATCAGATAAAATTTCCCCAGGACAAATTAGTAAGGAATAAATATTTTTATAACATAAACTCTGTGCAGAGAAGGTAATAGGTACAAGAAAAGTGCTTCATACACATGATAGTATGTTCCTCAAAAAGTGTTTAAACTCTGAAACATTGCCACTTTTAAAAACATGATACAAAAACTGAAAATCAAAATCACAAAGCACATGATTATATTATACCCCATTCAAGGGGCTTAAGAACAGAAAAAAAGGTGTTTTGAAAATCAGAAAAGGAAGTACATTCTTAAAGTGTTCACATTCTAGAGGCAGTTCTCATGTTACCAAGCGCTAAGAAATATCTAAAATAAACATTCTAGAGGCAATTCTCATGTTACCAAGAGCAAAGAAATATCTTCTAAAGCAATTTCAAAATATTGATTATATTAAGGTTGTATACTTGGGACAGAATTATGCACTTTTATCATATCAAACCCAAGATAATAGAAGCATATATGTGTGTGAAGGGATCCTCAATACAATATACAGGGTGGCGCATCGAAAACGAAACAGATGTATTTACTGGTCGCTCAGTTTCTTTTTGAAAAACGCTCAGACCCGTGGATTTTGTTTTCGAGGGGGACACAAGTTTGGCAAAAAATCACGTTAGCACGTGCAGCCCCCTAAGCGGGGTGACACCACCCCCAAAATCTTAAATGGAAAGGGGGGTCGAGTGATACCCTATTTTAAAGGTCTTTCAATTCCCTTTATAATGATATAAAATTAATGTACTTCGGTTCAGTAGTTTTGAAGATTTATTGATTTAAAGCTTAAATAAAACTAATACATCTTCATTAGTGGAGATCAATACATTTGTCAGCAAAGTAATTTAAAAATGAAGAATGAACTGACCTGTTAGGCAAGTAAATGTTGAAAATGGCCACCATGACCTTCCATGCAATAATAAAGATTTTGCTCAAAACGTTGCCGCACGTTTTGCAATATTTGAGGAGTAATTTGAAGGCACTCACTCACAATTCTTTGTCGCAGGTCTTCTAATGACCTACTCACGCAATATACCGCCGATCATTCTGATTTTCAATAATGGCTGTTCATGCAGGATCTATGGCGTCTTCCAGTAATTCCAAATACATTTCACCCGTCAAATTTCCAGGTAAGAAAAAAGGGCCAACTAAATGATCGCAAAAAATACCAGCCCAAACATTTAATTTTTGTGGCTGCTGTGTATGAACCTCATGATAAATTCTGGGATTAGAATCGGACCAATATCGGCAGTTATGACGATTTACTATGCCATTTAAGAAAAAGGAACATTCGTCGGAAAAGCAAATGTTGAATAGAAAATGTTCATCGTTTATAATTCGTTCACTCATATCTTCACAAAATCGTAACCGCCGATCAAAATCGTCTTCATTAAGTTCTTGTACCAGGTGAATTTGATGCGGATGAAAACTATGGGCCTTTAGAATCCGTTGGACAGTACGTCGACTAACACCACACACAGTCTCCAATTTGCGGGTACTTAACGTAGGATCTACATAAACTTGCCGTAAAACCCCCACTTCTATTGCTTCGTTCCTTATGGGATTTTCAATGTAGCATTTTTTTATTGGCGACTGACCCAGTTTCTCGAAATTTAGCTACAAGTTCTAGAACATATTTTCGATGCACATTACTGTTCTCATGTCGCTCATTAAATATTTCTGCTGTTCTATTAGCGCACTGATTATTTCCGAAAAATATTTCGATAATTTCAACTCTTTCTGCTGAGGAATATACCATGGTTAATTTATGTAATAAAGCGTTACAAGTTATTTTAGCAACAAAGTTTGGTCAAATCAATCCCAAACTATGTACTAAATTCCTATTTAAAATAAGTACAAGATATTTCCTTATCTTTCTTCAAGAAATAACTTTTTTGCCACAAAAAAAAACGCTCCAATAGCTATTTTCAACAACAAAATGATAAACCATGGGCGTAGTGAAGAAAAGCATTTACTTATTTAGTTAAATCCTTTATTCAAATTTCTTCTGCAAGTAGTACAAACTAATCTGATGTACCTATTAAAGTCTACTTTAAGCTTTAAATCACTAAATCTTCAAAACTACTGAACTGAAACTCATGTATTTTACATCATTATAAAGGGAATTGAAATACCTTTATAATAAGGTATCACTCAACCCCCCTTTTCCATTTAAGATTTTAGGGTTGGTGCCACCCCCGCCCAGGGGGCTGCACGTGTTAATGTGATTTTTTCCAAACTTGTATCCCCCTCGAAAAACAAAATCGGCGGGACTGAGCGTTTTTCAAAAAAAAAAACTAGGTTCCAGTAAATGCATCTATTTCGTTTTCGATGTGCCACCCTGTATATTTTTCATAATACTTCAACATGACAAAGAGTGATAACAACCATCAAGTGATCCTTTAGTGAAATTCAATATATCTCGTATCATCAAATACAAGAGCAAACCTTCAGGGCTTCCCAACAATGAATTTCTGAAAGTTCCAGTCATTGCCAGTATAACTTCAGCATGTAGCTATGCTACATCATACTGTCAATTTGTATAGATATTTGGCAGTCTATGACAGTCAGAAATTCCTTGTTGAAAAGGACCACTTGTGCTGTTCCATGCCTTCTCGGTAACATTTTTTTGTGAGCTATTTCACAAAAAGAAATTAAGTCACTTTACAGCATATACTCAGACTGAGCCTAATGAAATGGTTCAAAATGATTATATTATTCATCCAGTCAGTTGAGAACTAAATAAATCTACTTAAAAGCAATTCTGATATGCCACTAAATGTCAACACATTGCCAAGTGGAAAATTAAATATTAAATAGATCAGCATGTGATAGAAAAAATATAGATTATATAGTATTAGGGCACCCATAAATGGCCAATATATTTACTGCTTATCTCGTAGCAGTAGAGTAGTCAGCAATATACTACAATACATTTTCAGTATAGTGGGGCTACATAGACATGTTTGATATTTCCTACATATTTTCATATGTTGCTACCTGGTTGTTGAACAATCAGAATCCTACTTAATGTAATAATATGCAAGCTGCTATAATGCATACAGTTTCATCAGTATTTCTTGCCTGATCTTGTAGTTCATCTAACATGAAATTCTCATCTGTCTATGCCTAGCAGACAATATTGCCGAGCTATGTATGAAGATCCAAGCCACATTCTGCAATTTGCTCACAGTGGCTAGGTCATAGTTGTCAAAATTATGACCAAATATTGAAACAAAAATATACTCATTTATGGGCTCCTTCGCTGATACTGTAAAACATTATTCATTTGGTGGTGTCGCAGTATAAAGTAGAGAAAAAAAATTACATATTTGGGCTTACATTTGATGCTGGTGTGTAGGTCTGCCCATAGGTTTGATAGTTGTAGTTCTCATATCCTTGCTGATATTGGGGATATCCGCTGTGGTATCCCTGGGGATACTGCGACTATTAAAAAAAGATCCAGTCAGAACGTTAAACTCACCTCACACTATAGATGAACGTGTTTGTGATCATTAAATACTCACATTGTTATACATCCTGCAGGTAAAGCTAACAGCAACGATTTATCTAGCTATAAAATCAGCTCAACTGGTACAAAAAATGCTATCTCCTGAAACTATCTAGAAAATGTTTTGCCGCAAGTCAGCAATAATCCTAAATATAGCATACAACATGTTTGATAACTATAAGATACAGTTGCATAGTACATGTAAAAGTTGACGTAGTTTTCGAGCACAATCAATATGTAACACAATATTGTAAAATCAATACAAGTTACAAATCACAAAGAAAAGCCGGATAAAAATCACTTTTATCCTTAGCGGATATCCACCATTTTCTTTTTAGCAAAATGAATTGAAAGCCACTTGAAGTCTTGAATGCTGTCTTTCCTTTCCATCCAACGTACAACGTTGTCAGATTGTGATCAGAAAATAAGAAGACTATGCAGTGGCAGTACATTTTGTGTAATTTAAGCTTGACTTGTTCCAAAGTAAAACCGTACCATTTCCAGGTTTTACAAAGAATCCCTAGTATCACCGAAATAAATAATAGTTTGGAAAACTAAAAACACGCTTTAATAGCTAACCGAATCAAAAAAAATTTAATTACAAAGATATATTACAGTAGTAGATGGTCCAGAAATAAGAATTACTAAAATATAGTAAAATGCACTCAACACTTTTTACTCTGAATTGAATTATTCTGTTAATAACTTGAATTTTATTATAATTTTATTTTGAGGTCATTAATTATGATTGATTGTTCGACTATCTACCACTGTAATATGAAATCTTTGTAATTAAAAATTATTTTCTACTTTTTATTTCGGCTGGCTATAAAAGCGTGTTTTTTAGTTTTAACTGTTATGTATTTTTTATTTTTTAGTTCAATTTGTAATTAGTTTTTTGTGGACATGTGGTATTGAAATTATTGCATTGTCGTCGGTCCCTGATGTGTGTGTGCGAATATTAAAACTCCTGTAAATTGGATTTTTCGGAAGAGCTGGCAATGTGGCAGAGAAAAGCTTAGCACAAAACGGAAAGTTTCATGGTTTAAATACATCATTTGTCACTTCTGTGTGTCATGCTAGTCTGTTCCAATTAACAGGCAGTGTGAACAAGTTTCATTCTCATTCCACATTCGGATACTATCAAAACTCCAAAGCGTACAACAATGGAACAGATGTGACGATTTCAAAACAAAACGCCACAAATGACAACACCAAGGACAATCCAAACAGAACCAGTAAACAAACATTTATAGATTTCCGTTTTTTAAGTTATTAATCGATTTATTTCACATCTCCAGTAGTAACAATCAACAACAAAAGCATTCGTGTAATAGATGAACCTGGCATCAACTAGCGAATATGTTAGAAATGGACGTAAGAACTCAGAAATTAGAACAGCAGGTATGGTTTAAATGTCAGGCGGCATTTTTATGTAGATTATTATGAACATTCTGCTTCGCAGAGGCAGCTAATGGAGCAGAAAATGAAGCAGAAGCGACTTACTTCAGGCATGATTCAGGCTTCCGATGTACGGGGAACCTCGGCCAAAAGTCGGTCCTGTAACATCAACCAAAAGGAACTACATGGTGAGAAATCTTATATTTAAGTGAAATAAAATTTATAGAGTTTTTATCTTATAGGGTATGATGGGCCTTTGCAGTATGCTATGGGACGAGACAATAATCCTGACCAAGTTATATCAATACTGACTACAGCTGATAGCATGGACGGTAAGCATTTGTATTTTAAAATACCATTGCATGGCAGTAAATCAAAATGTTCTAAAGAGTATTTTGGGCTCAGTAATACATCATCTTATTTCTTTATTTATCCACAATTACATTGTAGTATAGCCAAATGTCAGACTTATATGGCTACGTTTAGCAAGCTGCTACTCTTACACTTAACCATATAGTCTCTAGCAGAATACAGAATACACTATCCACAAACAGATTTGGTTCATTACATCGAAAGTAAAATTTAAAAAAAGGGAAAAAGGCATACTTTCCAAACCTAAATGCACCAAAAAATTATTAATCTGAATTAAAGATGGAAGAAAAAAGAAATGAATGATTACGTAAATTATATGTTTGGAGGGTTGAGTAATAATGTTTTAACTTTTTGTCGAAAGACAGGTAATGAAAATTCTTTATATACTTTAGGAAGGTCATTATAAATAATAGCAACATTGTAAGAAAAACTGGGTTTAAAAAGTGTAGACGTATGCAGGGGTATTCTAATATTATTTTCTCTGAGAGTTCTACAGTGAACATCATTATTAAATGAAATTTTTTCCTTCAAGTAATAAGGTTTAGATGTGAGCAGCAATTTGTGAACAAAAACTGAATAGTGATACTTGACCATGTCATTAATTTTTAACCAGTTTAGAACGGGATATTTCGCTGATACATGATCAAATTTACGTAAGCCAAAAATGAATCGTATACAATTGTTTTGAATAACTTGAATAACGTTTTTAATGAAATTGTCTAAACAAGTATAGTATACGATATTACAATAATTTAGTATAGATATGACCAATACTTCACATAGTTTTTTACGCAACTTTAGTAAATACCTGTTTGCTATAAGAGTGCGCAGCCGTAGGTAGGTTTTCTGAGATAGACTTTTAACATGTTCAATAAACCTTAATTTTGTATCAAAAACAACACCAACAATTTTTGCAGAATCAGAAAATTGCAAAATTTGGTTATTTATCTGAATGTTCAAGAGCTGTGTTACATTGTATGTTTTTCTTTGTGCGCAAAATAATAACATTTTAGATTTTTGTGGATTAATAAGTAGATTGTGATCTAAAGAGTATTTAATTAATTTATCAACATCGTTTTGTAAAATTTGAGTAGTATTATTGACATTATCTGGGTTAAAATAATGGAGCAATTGCGTATCGTCTGCAAATGACTGGACATGAGAATTATCAATACTTTTGCTTAAGTCGAACGTTTATATGAGGAACAGAAGCGGCCCCAAACTTGGGCTTGAGATATAATAAATCAAACTTGGAATATTTTAAAACACAAAAGATTTTATATTTTGATCAAAAGTATAAATTTATATACACTTCAGTCATAGGACATACTGTTTTTTGATGTCTATGAGTTTATGTATAAATATAAATAGTGGCTGACTTAGAATTCACAACTTTAATTCAATTTTGGTACATTTTTTTGGAGTATATATGTTTTAAATTTGGTGGAATTGTATTATAAAATGATTGTTGACTTGAAGCTTTATTTAATCGGGCTGTAGTTGCTGATGTGTTTTGAATCATGTTTCATGTTTATGATACATTGTAGTAAATTTTGGATTAGTTGAATATATGATTGTATTCAGAAATCAAGTTGCCTGGAGCCCAAAATTTGTGATTCTCCATAAAGATTGTCTGTCGGATATAATTTATTTCTGTTAAACATAATATTTATTATCCACTTCTGAGCAGTTTCAATCTTTTTATAATAACTATTCATGACTCCACCCCATGTCAAGTACATAAGAAATAAGTGGGTAGATAAATCCTGAATAAATATTTCACATTTAAGAAACTGCTGAAATATTTAATTTTTCAAAGAAGGTATCTTGATTTTTTGACATTCAACATGTATATATGCCATTTTGTCTTATTACCTATGATGTAAAAAAGTAAAAGTAAAGAAGTATTTGATGTTATTTACTGGTTGTAGATATTTGTAGCCATCTGGAGTTTGAATTTAGAATTTATTAAAGGGTGAAGACCTCTTAAGGGAATGTACGGTATGAACTATATTTCGTTAAAATTAATGTGCAAAATTCTTTCTGTGAAAAAATTCATTACCTTTTGAAAAACCAATTCGACTTTACTTTGATCTTTAAAAAATTCCAATCATTATCTGAAAGTCTGAATACATAATAGCCATGCCATCTGCATAACGAATAAATGTTCCATCGTTATTCAATTTAAAAATATTATTCACATATAGATTATATAAAACTGCTCCTAACACAGTTCCTTGTGGAACTCCATACCTAACTGTAACATCTACACTTAGTGAGTTATTGATATTTGCATGTTGTGTTCTATTTTTCTATTCTATTTCTATTTCCAAATTTTCTAAGGTAGTTAGTCTTGAGTGATGCTATCAAAAGCTTTGGCTGAATCAATAAAAATGCATAAATAACATATTGAACCTCAGGGACAGTTGTGGAGGACATCACAGATAATGCCAATGACCTGATGGATATTGAAGATGAAGAATCATCTCCTGTAGCATCTACCCCAAACAACAATGGAAACATACCAATAAACCCCATTGATGACAAAACAAATTTTATCCATCAGACAAATGGGGTAAGTTACAATTGACATGTCTGATTTTCAATTATTATGGGCTACACTATTAACCTTTTGTGAAACCTTATGGTTTTTCATGCCTTATTCTATAGTTTTGTGTATTTGATCTTTTATAAGCATTTATTGAACCTTGATTAAAACATTTGAGATAATATTGAGTTATGAAAATTATCAAGTTCTTCCATTTGACTTACATAGGCCCCGGAAGCTGAAGGTGACATTGAAGGTAATGTAGACAAATTTGTCCTACAACCAGCACTATTGAAAGTGTTGTATAAATGCCGCATTACCAGGGATAGGAAAGGTATGGACAGAGGGCTGTATCCAACATATTTTTTACACTTGGAGAAGGATTATGGAAAGAAGGTGTTTTTATTGGCTGCTAGGAAAAGAAAAAAGAGTACCACCAGCAATTATTTGATATCAACGGATCCTACGGATCTGTCAAGAAGTGCTGAATCATTTGTTGGTAGGTAACAATGTACTTCAGTATTTGGTTGGTCATTTGGACTCGTCATTCATATGTGAACTATAAAAAACTTGATTTATTTCTAGTAAAGTAGTAAAAGTTATTTGTTTTGCATTAGTATGAAGGAGATTGGTTTCAGAGAAATAAACGCAATATTCAGTAATGTTACTTTGGCAAGGAACATTTTTTTTTCAAACATATCAAGGTAAAAATAAACTGATTGCAATGTTTGCTTTTCTTGAAAAATTATCTGATATTATTATGACCTTGAAGTTCATGGTCAGGTTCATTGGCAAGGGTAAAGTTGAACCTAAAATTGTCCACAATTTGCAATTCAAGAAAATACATGTTTCCTGTAAAAAAATCATTTGATCTTAAATATACTAAGTGACATATAAATCCGAACACGCAGTTTAAATGGTTTTATTTTAATAAAAGTTGGTGGATGTATTTATCTTACTGTAAATAAGAAGTGAAAAAATTTTCAGCCTTATCAGTTGGACATTCCGGTTTTTATACTGCTTTTTTTAAATTCACTAACGCTCTAAAAAGGAATATTTCAGCCGCAGTAAAGAATCAACGTTGGCGGATTTTGGTTCTTGACATCCTTTATGATCGGTTACGATGCCTAGAGTACGGAGACCTGTACGATTTCGTCAACTTAGTGAGTTTGATAGGGGAAGCTTCGGGAAGCTGGACTTTCTTTTCGGGCAATTGAAGTTAGAGTGCAAAGAAGTGTAGACACTGTGGTTAGGTGTTGTCAGGCATGGCTTCGAGAAGGCCGTACGCAAAGAGCAAGGGGCACTGGACGCCGCCGTAGAACAACAGACCGTGAAGATCGCCGCCTAAGATTATTGGCCTTAAGGGACCGTTTCTCCACTACCAGGTCCATTGCAAATGAATGGTTTGCAGAACACGAAAGACCTATTGGCATGCGAAGTGTTTACCGACGAATGAGAAGTTTTGGCTTGTTTTCATACCGGCCACACTGGGTCCTCCCTTTAACTCGAGAACACCGACGTAATCGCCTTGAGTAGTGCAGACAACGGTCACTCTGGGATCAGGAATGGAACAGTATTGTCTTTAGTGACGAGTCTAGATTTTGTTTAGGCATGCACGATGGTCGTGCCAGGGCTAGAAGGCGACGTGGTGAAAGGAGGAACCCACAGTTTTTTGTTGAAAGACATGTTCATCACACTGTTGGAGTTATGGTTTGGGGTGCTATAGCTTATGGTTCCAGGTCACCTTTAATCTTCATCAGAGGTAACATGAAATCGCAGCGTTATATCCACGAAGTTCTAGAACCCCATCATTTACCCTATCTTGACACCCTGGCAGATCCAACTTTTCAACAAGATAATGCCCGACGACATGTTGCAAGATTCACAGTAGACTTCTTTCAACATAATGATGTCACATTGTTACCATGGCCACCAAGATCTCCCGACTTATCCCCAATTATGATGGGTAGGAGATTGCTCAATTTGCAACGTCCTCCTCAGACTCTAGAAGCACTTCGAGAGGAGTTGGTGGTTGCCTGGAATGAGATACCACAGGGGACATTGACCACCTGATCAGAAGCATGCCTAGGCGCGTTGGAGAATGCGTAGCACATCAGGGTGCATCCACACATTATTAAAGGTCAAAGGGCTTTAAAGCAGCGCAATCATTTTGAAATTTTTATCATTTACTTATTATGCTTCATTAAGTACTTATACAAAATTTTATTAAAATAAAACCATTTAAACTGGGTGTTCCGATTTATATGTCACTTAGTATACTTTGGTCATACTTGAACATACATTTTCTTGATCTTTTTATTTCAAGCGTCAAAAATAGAGATTTTCATTTAAGAAAACTGCAGGTCATAGTCAAGGTCACGTCTTAGGTCACCATTAGATGAATATAGATGAAAAGTGTCAGTTAAATTTGAATTTCACTGTAGATTGAGTTTTGTTCAACAGAATTCGACATAGTGGTTATACTTTCCAGGTAAATTGAGATCCAACCTCTTAGGCACCCAATTTACAGTTTATGACAATGGTGTCTCACCTAGAAAGGCAAATCTGAAAGAGGACATTCTGCCACGACAAGAACTGGCCTCTGTTATTTATGACACAAATGTCCTTGGATTCAAAGGACCTAGGAAAATGACTGTTATTATTCCTGGAATGGTAAATACTTTTATTTACGTATTACTCTGTGTACCAATTTTTGCAAGTGATCATTGCCAACACAACATGCTCTAAAAAAGAATGGTTTCAAACAGCATCATTGGTTGTATTCAACATAATAGTGAACATTAATACCTTTAGAAATTGAATTCAATAAGCCTTGTTGTTAAGCCTAAGTTGTATGCTAATTTAAGAATTCATTATGTGATTTTTACAGTGATTGTTTTTTTTTTCAGGCTGATGAGCAGAGAGTGCAGATCTATCCTCAGGACGAGAGTGAAAGTTTGATTGAATCCTGGAAAGCAAAAAATATGGATAACCTGATAGAACTTCATAACAAAACGCCAGTTTGGAATGATGATACCCAGTCATATGTTCTGAATTTCCACGGAAGGGTTACACAGGCTTCTGTCAAAAATTTCCAAATTGTGCACGATAGTGATCCTGACTATGTAGTTATGCAATTTGGTGAGTACATATTGTTATTATTTTCACTTTTACAACAAATATTTAGTTTGTTGCATATGAAATTGGTAAATATTTGAATGTCTCAGATGTATGTTACACTATTTTTTAATATGTGTGGTTGGTGGAGAAAGTTTTTGAGTCTATGGTTACCTGTACATGGGTGTAGTGGAGAGTGGGTACTCGATTGCTTCTATCATCAGTTGTAAAGCATATGATAAAAATCGTTTTTTAAGGTAATCAAAATACTACTCAGCATGAGGTTTGACATTTAATGGCTTGAATACCTTTTATTACAGTAGAAGTACAGACAGTAGATGGGCGACCAGGTTTTCATTCATTGTGTAACAATATTCCTTGTTTTTATTGGTCAGTTTGCTCTCATGTCACATACTCTTCTTGTCCACATAAACAAGGTCTCGCACACCCCACAACACCTAAATCCTGAGTGGTAATCAAACGCATTTGCACATGGGAATTTTATGCAGGGTGTCCTTATTGTCGGGACTTTACAGATCATATAGTTCAGGCAACAGTAAGCAAGTTTTCCTAGTAACACATACACCAAAGCCTTAAAGTGACAGAGATATTAAGTTCTGAAAAGCTCGAAGTGGGTCAAGCCCGATCCTGCATTCTTTGTCACGAGGTACGATGTTTTGTGGTACGAATCCAAATCAGGTGCCGCACGGTGTGTAGGTTAACATGCGGGATGTTTCAAATTCGACACTCACTATTGGAATTTCAGAAACGGTAAGAGATTGGGGCTAGGCAACTAAGAAAGTGGCACGTGGAAAGTTTCGCAATTCCAAGTATTTCCGGAGATAAACGAAAGAAACCGAATTTTCCAAAAATCGTTTCTCTGGCCTTATTTGAGATGTTATTTTAAAATAAATGGTACATTGACATTGTCACTTTTTCTCATCTACAAGATGGCATAATTATAATTCTTAGTCGCAATTTTCGGGACACTCTGTATTGCTAACAGATGGAAACATCTTGAGAATCTTAGATAATTTCCGCCAACCATACGGATAAAAAAATAGTGATAACCTTGATAATCAACGTTTTTTCGTGTAGGTCGGGTGGCGGAAGACGTGTTTACAATGGACTACCGATATCCGTTGTGCTCATTGCAGGCTTTTGCGATCGCGCTAAGCAGTTTTGACAGCAAACTGGCATGCGAATAGCACGCAGCGCCACCTACATCTGTCCGAATGTGCCTAAACTACGAGCTTAAGCAAATTGCCTACGTTACTGTAAGGGTATATTTTTGGTGATGGACGATTGTTTCCTTTATTTACATTCTGGTTTTACTACATACCATTTACCAGAATTATTCGTACAGTATGATGATACGGCGACATGACATTCGGAAAAATTCAATTGTCAATTCATATATGTGATGCTATGAGCAATTTTAAGTGATCGATAAATCATAACCGGTCGCGTTTGGTTTCAACTTTTTTGTTTTGAGCGACGCAGTTTGTAACATCTGTGAAATGATGGCGTCATGAAGTGGCCTTTCATGATGTCACGGTTACTGACAGTTAAGACGAATAACAACCTTGCACAGGTGGTGGTTTCTATGCGGTTGTGAATGTCAAACGTCAACCCAAGAATATATTATGACCCTTTTCTGTAATTTTGTGCCTTTTGTGTTTGTTTTGTGATTTAAATTTTTTGTGAAAAGTTCTCGATAAAAAAAAAAACGATCTCAGATGACAACAGGCGTAGAACTACTGAGTTTCTATGGAGTCATGAATTGATTTTTTGTGTGCAAAGTTTAAAAAGTAATTAGGTGTGTTTTTAATATCACAGTAAAGTATTTACTTATATATGAACTATATTTATAATCGAAGATGCTGGACCACAAAACAGTGTAGCAACTCTGTTCTCAGGTCTCTGTTCTGTGTCATAAGGGCAAATGACAGAATAATCAAGTGCATAACCAAGGAATAATCACAGTTCATCGCTCAAAATTGCTTCTTGATCTAATATTCTGGATTAATCTGTCTTGTCAAATACTGCTGAGCTTACCGAGACTGATGTAACCAAGAACTTTGCATCTTGAATTTGACAGCGTTTGCGTTTTTCCATGAAAATGCTCATGTTACAAATATTGTAAGTTGTTCGAAATGAAATATGTACACCTGACTTTTCAATCATTTATGTTTTTGTTTTCACCATGTCAAGCGCAAAATTTCACAAGGCATTTCTATTAACTATGAATGGCTGGCATACTTTGGAGCAAAAGATGGACTATAGCAATTTTTTTCGAAGGTGTTATTGCTTAACATATTCTACCTGAGATCTAATCTCAATCAATGGTTATAACTTCTTTTCATCTCATCCTATTCGATTCAAGGATTGCTGTTTTTAGGCACAACTTTCTGCTGGAAGGAATATTGTATGCTAAGTCAGCGTATTGTATTTGACAGTTGTATGTATTTCCAAAGAGAAATCTCATTCATGAACATGTAGTAAAACCAGGTGCCATTTACCATTTAGTATTAACGTGTGGCGGCATTGCATTTGATATTAATAAATATTTCGATTTCAAAATATGTTTTGATCTAAGGATTGGTCAATTAGTGAATGAACTGGGAGTTCTCAGTTTCTTCCGCAAGCAGTTGGTACGTTGCTTGCCCAAATTTTAACGTACATGTTGGTGCAAACAAAATGTGAATATATTTTTCCATATCAGGGAAAATGGAGCATATGGCAACATCGCGTCATAGTAGTAACATTGGAAGTATTTCAAAAGCCTTCCTCAAACTCTTGAATACTATCAATAGAGCGTATTTGTTCCAATTTTCTTACTAGAGGAAAAATACCTCACGACTCATTTTTTACGTAAATTAAGTTTTCTTAATACTGAATCTCCGAATATATTGCCATGAGTCATGTTATACGTATTTTTCAAACTTTAGTCGATAAGACTTTGGAAATAATCTAGTCGTTTGATACTTTTAAGTTGCTTCATTGCACACCAAGCATATTATTCAACAGAAAGGCATAGAGTGACTATAATTGTCGGTATTAAATTTAGAAAAAAGTTGAAGAAACATTCTGGGTATCAATCTATCCTAATTTGTTAGCATTGACTTGAAGAATTAAATATTTGATGTGCGAATTTTGTAGGCACTTGAAACTTGCCACTAAACTTATAGCCTAGTTGTAATTTTTTCAACGGAATTTTCAAATGAGGTTTAACACTAAAATATATAATATATAAAAACCAGAAGTACATGGAGTTAGTTAGGCTCAGGGTCATATTTGTCATATCTAAGGTTAGGAACAGACAAACATGTCAGTTGCTGATCAGTTTACGTTTACAGAACATTATATCCCAATAAAATTTCCTTAGTAAAAATTCCTCAAAATTTGGAGAAAATCCCCCAATATGACAACCCTGTCAAAGCACCACTGGTACCTCGGGCGTCAAGTTTCGAGGTCGACCAACATTGCCGTTGTTTCTCCTGGTATAGGCTCCACGCTCTCAAGTTTCATAAACCGTATGTTTCACAAATGTTTGAAAATATTAGGTGAAAATTGATCACAGTTTTGATGGGATAGTGTGTTCCAACATCAAGGTGCTAGCCTCTTTGTATAACAGATGCACAATTTTAATGAGATAATAGCGGAGCTTCTTCAAGTAAAGGTATGACACAAATAAACATTACATTATGTCTTGATAATAATCAACATTTAAATGTTCGAGTACAGTTATATGCCTTTTTTAATATAGTCACTCTAAAGCCTTTCAACACGGAATTCAACGAGTTTGGTTCGCACTTTAGCAGTTAAGGAGCACTGTCGCTTACTGAAGAAAATCAGTATTAAAACATATGTATATTGAGTGTTTGTGTTGTGTGCATTTTTTTGAAACATTACTACTGATATTTATACTTGAAAATAAGGTCTAAGTAGCTCGCCGAATCTATCAAAAATACTGCTACTTTTTTTGAGACTTGTTTAAGTCGTTACATGTTTAGAGAACTGTAAAAATACAATAGTTCCAGGATCTTTAGTACCAGAAGCACACCATTGAATTTTTCAAAAAGAAGAAACCTATCTGCTTTAGGTAATCACCTTGATACAAATTTATGTTCGTTTAAGAAATTAGTTCAATTTCGCAATGGAACATTTCCATATGACGTCACAAATTCAGCTGTCATTCTGAGTATGGGCTAAGCACATTTCTGTATACGTACAGGATCACTCGATGTGTAACCTTTTCAAAATGCCATAAATTCGGTTTAGCAAATGATTTTTATTTATTCCAAAGTACAGAATGTGTGAGAATATTCGAAGATAATTCACTTTGGCTCAATATAACAACCTTTTGCGGTCCAAAAATGGTTCACGGGCTGTCCGAATGTGACTTGACGATATTTTGGCCCACTAACAGGTAATGGCTTTCTTCAATGACTCGAGGCTGGTGTATTTCTTAGCTCGGACCTGGCCAACCATTCTTGGTTTCGCGCTGTGTGCGACGGTGCTGAGTCTTGTTGAAATGTCCATGGCCTGCCGCTGAAATGTTTGTCTGCCCACGGCCTCAAAGCAGCCTCCAGAATACTTACTTTGACGCTAGGCTCAATGAAAACGATTGAAGAGCACCCATCCCCGTTACAGTGGCTCAAATACTCGTAAAAACGTTCGTTAAAGCAAACCCTATGGTTTTGAGAGTTTACAAATTGCTCAATTAGAAAAAAATTGTCGTCAGAAAATACGATGTTCGAAAATTGACCACTTTCGGTCAAGCGAAACAGCTCCTTAGCTCTCTCAAGTCTCACTTGTTGCTGATTGAACTTGAGCTCATTTTTCAATATGCGTCGCACGCTGCGATCGGATATTTTGAGTTTTTTAGCCATTCGTCGTGGATTTCGCTCAAGTCGCTTCTTCACTTTTCGAACCATCTCAGGTGACGTTGCACTCTTTTGATGACCACCTCCATGACGTTCAGTATCATTGTAACGTTTTATGGTACGATAAACAAAACCATATTCACATCGAGATGTTTGAGCTCACGTACAATCGCTGGATGTGATTTCCCAGACAAATATAAGCAATCACACAATTGCGTTTGAGTTCTACTGCTTATACCTTCTTTTGTGTTCACCTTTGTGAAGTTGGTTACACTTCGAGTGCCAGACCCTGTAGTCCTGTCCACCGACTTGCATCTAATAGGTTATAATTTGGATGACGTGTAGCTTACGACTGTCAACTGTAATTTTGGACGTATGAAGATGATCCATTGATCCCAGCAGATCTTTACCTTGTAACTGACTTCTGGTACTAACTATTCTGACTTTGAGTACTAATGAAAGTCTCCAGATTTCATAGAAGACAGAGACATATGTGTTCGTTCGGAATTTCGATGTACCTACTGTATAGCAGAACTATGTCTGTCTTACTGAATAACTCTCAAAATGTGCCTAACTCTAGCCAAGTTAAAAAGCCTAGCTTGTTTTCAGTAAGACGAGATTGAAAATTACTGATGCCTTTGACGATGCTGTCAAAATTACTGATACAGGTGTATTTTTGTGTAAATATATGGTAGTTCAGACTATATTGATGTTTATATGTATATTGCTGCTGTAGATATCGCAGTTTTATAAATGTTCTACAAAAAATAGAATTTGTAAAAAAAGAAAAAATCCATTATCTGTTGCTCGTTCATGTGAGTTTAATAATAGCTTGCTTACATATGAGTTACTTGGAAGTCTATGTTGCTTATATACAAGAAAGCGTACAGTATTCCCAAAATAATTCCTGGATGCTTTTCTCCTCACTACCATCTTTACTCTTCTACCTTTGTTATATTTTCCTGTTTTCCGTAACTATGTATGGTTCTTGTAAGATCCGATGGAACACGTTAACAATCAACTGTGACTTGATTGTGGTCGGCATTCTAAACAAATATTTTTGTACCTGATATCAAAGCCTAAATATATATTCATTGTAACAACTTTTATTGTTTCATAACTCGAATATTATAATGACAGAAATGGATTTTTTCAATACATACGAAGGGGTTTTGACTAGCATTGTATGTCCACGTAGCATGCTAGCAAAAAAGTGAATTTTAAATGACAAGTTGACCTAAGATGGGTAACCCCAAGTTTAAAATGTTTAGACGAAGTGATTCATTACAAAGAAAATTATCTTTGTATTGCCTTAATGTTTTGCCTTACGTAATTTGAATATTTTGAATATGTTTTTGAGGTATTTATTTATTATAATCAATGACCTTATAATGGAAAATTATCACTTATTAGCACCTTAGTACCAATATTCCACGAACATTACCGCCAAGTTGCATAGGTATTTGCATATAAGAGCACTTCTTTTGACAATAAACGCCTGTTAGGCATATAGAGGTTCGCTATGTTAGCACTACTATTATTACAAGGCACATCGTAAGGAGTGTAAATGTCAACACGGTTAGTGGCGAAACTGCGTCTAACTTGATCCTCTCCAAACCTATACTTCACCAAAGCACATATAGTTGTTTGCTAACGCGTGTCAATTATGAAAATTACGCACTAGAGCAGCGATACGTAACCTATTTTTCCGTTCCTCTGAGCAAAACTGCTGCGGAAAAGGTGACACCCGGTGCAAACCACCCCCGCCGCCCCCCTTGCTAGGCAACTGCTTAAACCCTTACGACAGCCCGACTGATATGAAGTGCAGCAAATCATAGTAATCTAAATGTTGCATTAATTAAAATTTCATGATTTTTACTAAAACCTTAGACCGGCAATACAAATTGGATGAAGACCAGCCAAGCTACATAATATATATATATATATATATATATATATATATATATATATATATATATATTAATTGTTAATTGGGAAATTGGCTAACTTTTTAGGCTTTGGTTAACTCTTTTGACGGCAATCTCTAGCTTTCAGCAATTCTCTATGGAGCCTCCATCAGGAGCTGAAAAGACAATTATGATGCTAGCAACCAATACGGGAAAGATTTAAATTGTCAAACAACTTACTCGTCGTTGAGGTTGCAGCCAAATGGTGTTTCAAAACGAACACAGGGATGAGAGCACTTATTACAAATATAAAACTAACCGTCGTTATCAATAAGCCCAATGTGTTCGTCCGGTTGGTTTTATATTTGTAACAAGTGCTCTCATCCCCGCGTTCGTTTTGAAACACCATTTGGCTGCAACCTCAATGACGAGTAAGTTGTTTTACAATTTAAATCTTTCCCGTATTAGTTGCTAGCATCATAATTGTGTTTTCAGCTCCTGATGAAGGCTCCATAGAGAATTGCCGAAAGCTAGACATTACCGTCAAAAGAGTCAACCAAAGCCAATTTGCCAATTAACAATTAATTGTATAACTGGACGTTGGCAATGGCTGCTCATATATATATATATATATATATATATATATATATATATATATATATATATATATGTATATAACAAAAAGTAGAAAAATAATGGGCGAAATCCGCAAAAAAGAGGAAAGTGGATTCGAGCAGAAAATAGGATAGGTAACCCGAGCGATACGTATTTCTGCTGATTGGCTTCATCAGGCCCGAAATGAATGCACATACGAAACTGCAAAAGTAGATACACATGCCCACACATCCGTATCCGGATGTGTGGGCATGTGCCTGTTGTTCCCATTCTCATGTTGGCATATTTACTGTTGGGAAATCTGTTGTAAAACATATCTACAACTGCAACGATCTTATTGTATTCAGTATCATTTGACCAACCTGAATAAGTCTCAATGACATCTGTCATATCGACAGCAGACTGACTATATCCCTTCATCAACTCTGTAACTTTCTTTGATATGTCATGTTTGTTTTGCGAAATAACTTACTTCTAGTGTTCATAGTTTGTACTTTTTGTTATATACCTTTCTCCGGATGATCATTTTCTCTTTGTAGATCCTTTGGGCGTGAAGTACCACAGCAAGTGGCTATAACCGGCCGCGTGGTTGTGGTTAGATGTCTCCTTGAAAATTCGAGGTCTTCTAGCCATTTTATACTACAATGTGTAGGTTGGCTTTTGTTGTGGACTTCGTGTGTCGTTTTTTTCTCTCTCCATCTTCGTTTCCTCAGGTTACACCCGTATTCGGATGTGTGGGCATGTGTATCTACTTTTGTAGTTTCATATGTGCATTCATTTCGGGCCTGATGAAGCCAACCAGCAGACATACGTATCGCTCGGGTTACCTATCCTATTTTCTGCTCGAATCCACTTTCCTCTTTTTGCGGATTTTGCCCATTATTTTTCTACTTTTTGTTATATACCTTTCTCCGCATGATCATTTTCTCTCTCTCTCTCTATACATATATAGTGGATTATTTTGAGGGCACAATGTTGTTCGCGCAGTTACGTCACCGATATATGTGATGTAGGTGTGTTCATTTCTGTTGGAGCTTACCCTTTTTATGTAAGGCCACTTTCGTTTTGCACCTTTAATCAATTTAAATTTACTCGAACAAAATTTCACAAATTTGGTAGAGCTTAGATACGATTACCTGATGGTAAGTATAGTTTGTACTGTTCATGGTTAGTACTTCTGCCTATCCAAGTTAATATGCTCAAGGGAATTGAAATAATAAGGGATATTGGTACTAAAGGTAGTTTAGTCTATATTTACTATGTACTTGGTAGGCAAAACGCTTGAGTACAAAGTACTCATATGTATTGTTACGAAGATACAGTATTGTTTTTCCATCTGGATCATTATTGTGGATACATAAGCATAAGTTACCAGAATTCATTCTATTTCAGCATAGTACCATACTGTAAAGATACTCTCCGACATATTTTTGAATGCATCGTAAATTCAGAAGAACCATTTACGAACAATATATTGCTGAGTCCGGCTGGTTTTTACGATCTCAAACAAAATATATTTCTAGCGTTGCGTCACTGTTGTTTTCGGCAGCAATACTTGGAGGAGTTGTTGCCTATACTTTTAGTGTACAGGGTTTCCTACAAATGAGTTCAGTTACACATTCCTGTGGAATACATGAAAGTATTCCCACAAGACTGACACGTTCTTAGATAAATTGCCCTATTATTCCCCATGGAGATACATGCCCTAAA